GATCTGATCGTGTCATATAAGCTTTTGGATATGCTGCTGGATTTAGTTTTCCAGTGTTTTATTGAGGATTTTCACATCAGTGTTCATCAGAAATATTGATCTGAAGATTTTTGTTGTTGTTGTTGTGTCTCTGCCAGGTTTTGGAATCAGAGTGATGCTGGACTCATAAAATGAGTTAGGGCAGAGTCCTTCCTTTTCAATTGTTTGGAATTGTTTCAGAAGGAATTGTACCAGCTCCTCTTTGTATCTCTAGTAGAAATCGGCTGTTAAACCATCTGGTCCTAGGCTTTTTTGATTGGTAGGCTATTACTTTGGCAGTTTCAGACCTTGTTATTGGTCTATTCAAGGATTCAACTTCTTCCTGGCCTAGTCTTGGTAGGGTGTAGATCCCCAGGAATTCACCCATTTCTTCTAGATTTTCTAGTTATTTGTGTAGAGGTGTTTATAGTATTCTCTGATGGTAGTTTGTATTTCTGGGGTCAGTAGTTATTTTCCCTTTATCATTTTTTATTGTGTTTATTTAATTCTTCTTTTTTTCTATTAGTCTAGCTAGTAGTCTATTTTGTTAATATTTTTGAAAAAAACAGCTCTTCGATTTGTTGATTTTTTTGAAGTTTTTTTTTTTTGTGTCTTTACTTCCTTCAGTTCTGCTCTGATTTTAGTTATTTCTTGTCTTCTGCTAGTTTTTGGATTTGTTTCCCCCTGCTTCTTTAGCTCTTTTAATTGTGATGTTAGGGTATTGATTTGAAATCTCTCTAGCTTTATGACATGGACATTTAGTGCTATAAATTTCCCTCTTAACACTATGTGCCACAGATTCTGGTACATAGTCTCTTTTTTCTTATAGGTTACAAAAGACATTGATTTCTGCCTTAATTTCATTATTTACTCAGGAGTCATTCAGGAGCAGGTTGTTCAGTTTCCATGTAATTGGGTGCTTTTGAGTGAGTTTCTTAATTCTGAGTTCTAATGTGATTGTACTGTGTTTTGAGAAACTACTAGTTATAATTTCAGTTGCAGAGGAGTGTTTTACTTCCAATTATGTGGTTTATTTTAGAATCAGTGCCATGTGGCACTGAGAAGAATGTGTATTCTGTTGATTTGGGTTGGAGAGTTCTACATATGTCTATTGGGTCCACTTGATCCATAGCTAAGTTCGAATCCTGAATATCCTTGTTAATTTTCTGTCTTGTTGATCTGTGTATTACTGACAGTGGGGTGTTAAATTCTCCCACTATTACTGTGTGGGAGTTGAAGACTCTTTGTAGGTGTGTAAGAATTTATGAATCTGGGTGTTCCTGTATTGAGTGCATATATATTTAGGATAGTTATCTCTTCTCATTGAATTGATCCCTTTAGAGTAATGTAATGCCCTTCTTTGTCTTTTTTTTTGGTTTTAAGTCTGTTTTGTCAGAGACTAGAATTTCAATTTTTTCCTTTGGTAAATTTTCCCCTATCTCTTTATTTTGAATCTATGTATGTCTTTGCATGTGAGATGGGTCTCCAGAATACAGCACACCAATGGATCTTGACTTTTTATCCAATTTGCCAGTCTGTGCCTTTTAATTGGGGCATTTAGCTTATTTACATTTAAGGTTAATATTTTTATCTGTGGGTTAATATTTTTAATCCTGTCATCATGATACTATTTGGTTATTTTGCACACTCATTGATGGAGTTTCCTCATAGTGTCTTTATAGTTTGGTGTGGTTTTTGCAGTGGCTGGTACCAAGTGTTTTTTTTTTCCCCCTCTATATTTAGTGCTTCTTTCAGGGGCTCTTGCAAGGCAGGCCTGGCAGTGACAAAATCCCTTAGCATTTGCTTGCCTGGAAATGATTTTACTTCTCCTTGGCTTATGAAGCTTATTTTGGCTAGATATAAAATTCTGGGTTGTAAATTCATTTCTTGAAGAATGTTAAATATTGCCCCCCCACTCTCTTCTGCCTTGTAAGATTTCTGTTGACAAGTTCACTGTTAGTCTGATGGGCTTCCCTTAGTAGGTGACTTGGCCTTTCTCTCTGGCTGCCCTTAACATTTTTTCCTTCATTTCAGTCTTGGAGAATCTGATGATTATGTGTCTTTGTGATGATCTGCTCGCTGAGTAGTTTAGTGGGGTTCTCTGTATTTCCCAAATTTGCATGTTGGCCTGTCTTCCTATGTTGGAGAAATTCTCCTTGTTAATATCCTGAAGTGTGTTTTTCAACTTGATTCTGTTCTCCCTGTCTCCTTCTGGTACTCCAATCAATCATAGATTTGGTCCTTTTACTTAGTCCCTTATTTCTCAGAGGTTTTGCTCATTCAATTCTATTCTTTTTCCTCTAATCTTCTCTACATGACTGATTTCAGAAAGATAGTCTTAAAACTCTGATATCCTTTCTTCCACTTGGTCAGTTCGTCTATTCATACTTGTGTATGCTTCACAAGTTCTCGTGCTGTTTTTCAGCTCCATCAGGTAATAATTTATGTTCCTCTCTAAACTGGTTATTCTTGTTAGCAGCTCCTCTAACCTTTTATCAAGGTTTTAGCTTCTTTGCATTGGGTTAGAACTCCTTTAGCTCAGAAGAGTTTCTTATTTCCCACTTTCTGAAGTCTACCTCTGTCCTTTTGTCCATTTCATCTTCCATCCAGTTCTGCACCCTTGCTGGAGGAGGTGCTGTGGCCATTTGAGGGAGAAGAGGCACTCTGGCCTTTTGGATCTTCAGCATTGTTTTGTTGATTCTTTTTCATCTTCATGAGTTTGTCTAGTATTGATCTTTGAGGCTGCTGACTTTTGGATAGGGTTTTTATGGGGGCTTTTTGTTGTTGTTGTTGTTATTGTTGTTCTTGCTTTCTGTTTGTTTCTCTTGCAGTGGTCTGGTCCCTTTTCTGTAGGGTTGCTGCAGTTGTCTGGGGATTTACTTCAGGCCCTAGTCTTCTGTTTTGCTCCCATGTTTGGAGATGTGACTTGAGGAATCTGGAGAACAGTGAGATGGTGTCTGTTCCTTCCTCTGGGATCTCAAGGGGCACTTCCTCTGATACCTCTAGGATCGCTCCTGTATAGGGTTTCTGATAACCCATTTTGGTGGGTCTCACACAGCTGGATTTTATGGGGAGCAAGACCCACTTAACAAAGCACTTGGACTGTCCCTTGGTAGAGGGGATGTGCTTTGCTGGGGGAAGTCCATTTGTTGGGGCTGCCCTGATTCTCATGAACTAATAGGAGGAAGGACTAAGTCTGCTGGTGTGCAGAGACTATGGCCACCCATCTTCCTAGGGGCTCAGGCCTAGGGAGATCAGAATTCTGTCCTTGAGCCCCTTATTGGAGTAGTTAGACTTCCTGCAGGGAGACCCCAGTGAGGAGGGATGGGTCAAGGTCAAGCCTGAAGAAGAACTCTGTCTGCAGTCTGCCACACCTGGTGTGTTGTGCTGTGGGGGATACCTCTTGGCATCAAGCCATCCAGCCTCACTGGCTCCAGCAGGGGAAAAGTGTGGCCTGGGGCTACAGAAATGGTTGCTGCCCTTCTTCCCCCTTGGGAGCTTAGTGCATTAGGTGGCTATCAGTCTGAGTGTTGGCTCTTGCCCCTCCCCCAAGGAGTTCAAAAGGCTTAGACAGCAGACGGCAGCAGCTGTTGTGCTAGTCACCCCTCCCCACTGGGAGCTCAGCAGTCTTTAAAAAAAAAAAACATATATATATATATAATTTAAGTTCTGGGATACATGTGCAGAATGTGCAGGTTTGTTACATAGGTATAGATGTGCCATCCATCACATCTGGTGGTTTTCTGCATCCATCACCCCATCACCGACATTAAGTACTTCTGCTAATGCTATCAGCAGTCTTACACAGATTCTAGCTTAGTGGCTGTTGAAAATCTGCACAGCTCTGTGTTTGGGACCCTAGGCCCTGGTGGCATTGGCTCACTAGTAAGATCTTTGTGGAAAAAAACGTGTTTTCCCAGGCTGTGTAGTACACTCACTCACTGCCTCCCTTGCCTGGGGGTGGGGGCTCCCCTGGCCCATGTGGCTCTCAGGTGGGCCACCGCACCACACTGCTCTGCCTTCCTCTTCGTGGGTCACGCCAGCTGCCTAGTCAGTTCTAATGGCAGTACCTGGATACCTCAATGGCCAGTGCAGGATTTACATGCTCCTATGGTTCTTTTCAATGGGAGCCTCCCAGCGCTGCTGCTTTTAGACCATCTTGGTCACACCCCCTTCAAGCCACTATTATTATTACTATTCTAATGTGTTTATAAAAATCATTTTTGCCACTACATTTGTTTTTTTTTCATAATTTAATAATTCTGTGCTCTTCTTCACTGAAATGTAGTAATTAAAACTTGGAAGTTTTGCCAACATAATTTGCTGTGAAATAATTCTCTGGTTCACAAACAATTTGTCCTGGAATTTAAAAAATATACATAGATTCCCCATGGCATACCAAAGTTTTCATTCAACTTTTCTGAAACATATTTACCAGGCAAAATGAGAATTTTCCAAAGGAATGACTTTCTGATAAAATAGTTTTAAATTCAAGTTGTATATGATGATAACAAACATTTATTTGAGGCAGGGCAAATATCAAATCTAATCCTCATATTAAACCTAATACTGTCTCTGTTACTATTGTTGTTTTATAGATGGGGAAAATAATATACCAAAAGACGAAAGAAATCACTCTCTGAGTGTTTCGTAGCCAATAAGAGGTAGAAGAGGGATATGAACCCAGGCAGTCCAAATATAAGATTAATCAATATATAGTCACAAAGCTACAATTTCATCCAAGGATAGAGGCTTTTCTTTGACTCGTCTTCTTTTTTTTGTCCCCCAGGTTCTCACGGTGTACTTAAAAAAAAAAAGACAATACTTAACTAATATTGTTATCTCTGGAAAAGAAGTGATGGCTTCTTACAAAATGATTATCTTCTATTGATTTATTCTGTGACCTCACATAATAGCCTCAACTTGAGATTCAGTTGAACCACAAAATCTAATGATCTCATACATCTAACTGTGTAACTTACATTATTCATGAGAGGACAGTAGCTGGAAGCAATTCTGGTACACAAAGAGGAGTAGATCACTTTGTCCAGTCTGGGTAAAAGTGCTCTAAGGGTGAGCAAGGCCTGAAGTACAACAGTCTCATCTTTGGAAAGGAAGGCATCCAGGATGGCTATTAATAAACTGCTGACATTTTCTATCTACATATAAAAGGAAAAAAATGGTGGGATTTTGGAACTGGCAGGAGACTTGAGCTGACATTTCGTATGCATACCTTGAGTCTGGCAGCACATCATGGTGTGCGGAAGCTGAGTCACTAAAGTCTCTTGCCAGATTATCAAAAACGTTGACTTTTTTGCTAAAAACTCCTTATCGAAAGTTAAATTATATAAATTTAACATTATATAGAAACTGTAATACTAAAAAATGATCACTCTCTAATTCTTTTGCTTCATTTTACCATTATCTGTGCTCTTAAGGTTATTTATGGGTATTGTGTCTGAATGGCGGGAATATCAAATAATGATGTCCTATTGTGCATCTTTTCCCAGTTCCATGGTTAGTGATGTTCTTTTGAAAGCTTGAAATAGCCATTATGGGAATCTTTATGTCAGGGAATTGGCCTTATTTCCAGAGAGCTGGCTGTCAAACATTTACCAACACACCACTGGCATAACGACCTCTAAATTAGATTATAGTAACCTATTTGAATATGAGAGCTACCTGGGCAGGTCATGGGAGTCAATGTAGATCAGAACCAATCAAAATAGAAGGCAAGGAAAAACATGAAAAGGAGATGCCAGAGAGAAAGAAAGGCAAGAAGAAAAGGACTAAAGGGAGGGCCAGGCATGGTGGCTCACGCCTGTAATCCCAGCACTTTGGGAGGCCGAGGCAGGTGGATCACGAGGTCAAGAGATCGAGACCATCCTGGGCAACATGGTGAAACCCTCTCTCTACTAAAAATGCAAAAAATTAGCTGGGCACGGTGGCGCGTGCCTGTAATCCCAGCCACTCAGGAGGCTGAGGCAGGAGAATTGCCTGAAACCAGGAGGCAGAGGTTGCGGTGAGCCGAGATCGTGCCATCACACTCCAGCCTGGGTAACGAGAGCGAAACTCCGTCTCAAAAAAAAAAAAAAAAAGGACTAAAGGGAATTAATACATATTATTTGCCAAAATAATAGATTTAAGGAGAAAAAAATAGAGCTAAGGATTATGTTAGTGCCAGAGGCCATTTGTGTCTTTACCAACCGTATATGAACTCTCAACCCAGATCACTTTCCACTACCTTTCCTTAACTTTCCTAGGAAGCCTTGACAGAATTTTTCTTTCAGTTGTTAACAACATTGGGAAAAACTCTGGGTAAAGCAATAAATAATTTGCTACTAAGAGAACGTACACTATTGGTAAATCCACCAACTTGTATTATTTATTCAAACAGATCATGGCTTATGTCATTCTAAATGCATAGTAGGTATCCACTGATAGGCTTCAGTTTTCAGAGACTATGCCCAGTAGATAAACAAGGATTCTTTATTAGATTTATTATAAAAATAATAATGATTTATAGAACATTTGCACTCTTGGCATTGTGCAAGATACTTTGGAGTGTAGAATTACAGAACGTGGCCCAGGCTTAAATTCAGTCGACCATGAAGGCAAGACGTGTTCACGTGAATCAGTGGGAAACAATATAAGACTGTGGTTCTCAACTTTAACTTGAATTGCAGTCGCCTGGAGGACATTTAAAACACAGATTGATGGGCCCCACCCCAGAATTCCTTATTCCATAGGACTGGAGTGGGACCTCACAGTTTGCATTTCTAGTGTCTCTACGTGATGCTGATACTGCAGGTTCAAGAAGTATACTTTGAGAGCCACTGGTATAAAATATGAGTGCTCATAATTGATACGGATCTGAGAGGGATGTGGCTGCTAGAGATAATAATTTTCACTGAGGCTTGACTTGGACTAATCATTGAAAAAGGAGAAAAATGTAAATATGTGTGGGCAAAGTAGGAACATTATGAATAGAAGAAAAAGCTTAAGCAAGTGCTCTGAGATAGGAATTAATGTGTACACATGTGTGTATGTTGGGGGAAAACTTAACATGTGTATCATTTTGACTGTTACACGAGTCTAGGGCAATGAGGATAAATACATTCTGAGTGAAATGAATGATTTTCTGTGAAAAAAAAAAGCGATAAAGCCACTAAATGAACTTAACACATCCTTGCTATTCAACTCAGTTTCCTTGTTAATAAAACAGCAGGCTTTGATATGTTTTAGTTATATAGAAACTGAAAAGTATCACTGCTTTAACAGGGAAGATGTTAAGTGATATCAAAATCTCAGATTACAACTTTGATGATGCTGGCAGACACAAATCACATACGCATACCTCATTGACTGGTGACATGTAGGCAATTCTCCGAAGGCTTAGTTTGCTAACTACAGGATTGGAATCATGGACCCAGTTTCTGAAGAGGACCAAAACTACTTCTGGGAAAGGTTCCTTGAAGAAGTTATTCAGAAGCTGAAAGAAAACAGTTAATAAGTTTATAAGCAAAGTAGAGGCCAAATTGAATGATTTCTGTCATAAAAATAAAAATACTCTAGGTAAAACTAGAATACAAATCTCACTAAAACATCAAATACTTACATACATTTCAGTGCTCACAGCTGTTGGAGACAGCCATCAGGATAGGAAATAGATGCTTTAAAGATGCTTTGCTTTGTTTTTTTTTTTTTTTTGTTGTGTGTGTGTGTATTTAAAATTTTCCTCCATTGTTGGAAACTGTGAGTGACCCAATTTAAATTTCCCCATCTTAATGATTGTAGTGAAGTGGTGAGTTTCTTGACAGTGTATGTTTATATATGCTAAGAGGTGATACCTACTATAGGCCAGGCACTACACTAGTAAATAGAGATATAATGGTGAGCAAAACGTTGCAACCCATGACCCTGTGGAGCTTCCAGGCAAGCTGGAGAGACTGATACTATATTATGTACTATTCTAATGAGACAGAGTTTCTAATTGTGGTCAGTACTAGGAAAGAAAGCTACTAGATTCACAACACATCTGCATCTACAGCAGCAGTCCCCAAACATTTTGGCACCAGGGACCAGTTTTTGGAAGACATTTTTTCCCCAGGGATGGCTGTGGGAGGTGGGGTGTGGAACTGTTCTACCTCAGATCATCAGTTATTAGTTTAGATTCTCATAAGGAGCCTACAACCTAGATCCCCTGCATGCACAGTTCACAATAAGGTTCACACTCCTATGAAAATCTAATGCTCCCGCTGATCTGACAGGAAGCAGAGCTCAGGTGGTAATGCTTGCCTGCTGCTCACTTCCTGCTGTGCAATCAGGTTCCTAACAGGCTACAGACCAGTACCAGTATGTGGCCCAGGGAGTTGGGGACCCCTATCTATAGGATTATTGGACTTACATTGTATAATGTAGATTCAATTTAGAATGAAGAATGATATTTAGATTTAGATTTGAGAGTTGGCATTAGCTAGAAAGTGTTTAGAGAGGATACCTCCAAGTATGGTGAACCATGTGCAAAGGCTCTGAGGGAGTGAAGCAGAGTGTGTTTGAGCACCTAAAGATGAGTGATAGGAGTGGAGAGGGAAGAGAAGACTGGACAGCAGTGAGGCTTCATGGCAGGTAAGGAAGGTGGAACAGAAGCACCAGTTTGAGGAAGTTTGAGGATAGAATCACCAGTTTGCAGGCCAGTTTGAGGAAGTTTAGTTTTTAATAGCTACTACCCAAAATGAAGGCATTATTATAATGAGCCTTCATACATTTAATAACTCACAGTCAAATATGCTGACTAAAATCTCTTAAAAACTCAATAAAACTTTTATAAAATCATGTTTTCTTTGGAAGAATTTAAAATACCATTAGATCAGGTACACAGAAAGATAGGGCAAGAGAGTGAGAGTGAGAACGAGAGTGAGAGAGACAGTGAATGAGAGGGGAGGATAGACCACATTTCTTTTCAAGCTTTCAAGGAACCTTCACAAAAATTAAATACTATGTCAAAAAGTGTTAATAACTTCTCTAAAGCAAGACGTTTGAAAAGCAGTTCAAAAATTTGTGATACAATAAAAGAAGAAACCAAAAAGAAGTTTAAATAAATAAAGCCAATAAAGCATTTGTAAATTTAAGAGAAACCTCCTCTAATTTGTGGGTTAAAATCTTAAACCACAGAGGAACTCAGATACTCAGGAAGGATGACAACAAAATAAAAAAAAATAAAAATTATGTGTAATAGAGATATTTATATTATAGTTGAAAGTAAATGCATAATTTGACTTTAAATGTTTTACTTAAAGATGAATGTTAATATAAATTATTTATATTCTGAAATTAAGAGAAACGATTTCACAAAATATAAAACAGTGCTAAAGAAAATTGGTATGAGAAAATAATAAAGATAAAAGCAGAAATCATTGAATTAGGAAACAAGAAACAATAGAATTAATAAACCTATTGCCATTTGCACAGAAAATAAAATCCTATTAAGATAAACAAACTTTTGGCCAATATAATACAAAAAAGAACAAATAAAATGAGCAGTGAGAAAAAAGTGTGGACTAGATTAAAAGTTTAAAAAGAATATCTGTGTTAGTAGTTCTTAAGCAAGGATGAGTACAGGATCTTCTGCAGGCAGCTTTTATATATTACACATGTCTGGGCTTCATCCTAGTAGATTTTCCAGTGGCAGACTCTGGCTTATGTACTTAAAAAATATTTCTTGGTGATTGTTTTAATATGCCCATCTTGTAGAGACCCGGTGATTATGGCAGTAATTTGAAATTCTGAGTGAAATAAATTATTTTCTGGAAAAATATAAACCCCTAAATATAAGGAAAACTATATAATTGTAATAGATGATCCATTGGTCTATATATCTCTATTTTAGTATCAGTACCATGCTGTTTTGATTGCTATAGCTTTGTAGTGTAGTTTGAAGTCAGGCCTCCAGCCTCCAGCTTTGTTTTTTGTTTTTGTTTTTTTGTTTTTTTGCTTAGGATTGTCTTGGCTATGCAGGGACTTTCTTAGTTCCATATGAGTTTAGGGTGTTTTTTTTGCAATTCGATGAAGAAAGTCAGGAGGTAGGGGGATTGAAGAAGGCTAGTGTTAGGAGAAATACCTAATGTAGATGACGGGGTGATGGATGCAGCAGACCACCATGGCACATGTATAGTTATGTAACAAATCTGCATGTTCTACACAGATATGTCAGAACTTAAAGTATAATAAATAAATTTAAAAAGAAATAGATGAAAAATAATGGAAGACTGATAATAATGCATTATTTATAAACATGATCAATGGTAATTCTTTTTGAGTGATAACTACATATAAAAATGTAAAGTCATATTTTCCCTTTGTGATTATAGTAAGCTATAGGGTTGTAATTTGGTCCTATGTAATTAACACCTAATGATGACTTTTTCTGGATTTATTTATCACATGAGGGCATGCAGAAATTGTGATTTGCCACTGCTAGCATTCCCTCTACATTTAGTGGCTGGTATCTGTCTCTCTGTCTCTAATCCTGTATTCCTCTAATCCTCTATTCTCTCTTCTCATTCTCTCATTTTGAGAACCACTATGGACTCATGAATTTAAAAAACTTCAATGTTACAATTATTTAGTTACTATTCATTCTGATGCTCAAAGTTGGCTAGGAGAAGTAACTTTGAGTTGACTCTTGCATCCTTTTGACATGCCCCCATGGGCATTTAGCCGTTATTTGAGTTGTGGAAAAATTAGATGTCCCTGACTCATCTATTTTTCTAGCGCCCTGAAACCAGCCATTTCATCAAAGTCACATGCTTCCTTTTGGTGAGTAATAGCACTTAGAAACCATTAGAAATGGATGCTAAAATACTCCTTGCTGTCGGAATATCATGTCTGCTTGGCTTTTACTCAGAGCTTGGAAATAGTTGTTCTTTAAATCATGAGTTCATACTAATAATATTGATATTTTAAATTCAAAACTAATATAAAAGTTTACATTAACTTTTTACAGTCTCATGTTTGTATTGCCTTCCTTTTACTTGGAAAACTCTGGCATCTAATATCATTAATATATTTACTTATTTGCTTTCTGCTCTATAATACATACCTTAGTCTTAAATCATAATGTCAATATATAATACCAATAAACCTCAATGGAATTCTTCATCATTTGAGAATCTTAAGAGCTGTGAGACAGAAGCACCAGGTAGCCTAAAAAGGAAAACCTATCAAATTAACAGCATGTTTCTCAGCAGAAACCCTACAAGCTAGAAGGGATTGCAGTCCTATCTTCAGCCTCTTCAAACAAAGCAAGTATCTACCAACAATTTTATATTCAGCGAAACTAAGCATCATATATGAAGGAAGGATACAGTCATTTTCAGACAAACAAATGTTGAGAGAATTTGCCATTACTAAGCCACCACTACAAGAAATGTTAAAAGGAGCTCTAAATCTTGAAACAAATCCTGGAAACACATCAAAACAGAGCCTTTTAAAAATATAGGACCTATAAAACAAAAATACAAGTTAAAAAGGAAAAAAAAACCAAAAACAATCAAAGTACAAAGGCAACAAAAAGCATGATGAATGCAACAGTACCTCATATTTCAATATTAACATTGAATGCAAATGGCCTAAATGCTCCACTTAAAAGATACAGAACCACAGATTAGATAAGAACGCACCAACCAACTATCGGCTGCCTTCAGAAGACTCACCAAACACATAAGGGCTCATATAAACTTAAAGTAAGGGCATGGAAAAAGGCATTTCATGTAAGTAAACATCTAAAGTGAGCAGGGGTAGCTATTCTTATATCAGACAAAACAAACTTCAAAGCAACAGCAGTTAAAAGAGACAAAGAGGAACATTATATAAAGGTAAAAGGCCTTGTCCAACAGTAAAATATCACAATCTAAACATATTTGCACCTAATACTGGAGCTCCCAAATTTATAAAACAATTACTAATAGACCAAAAAAATGAGATAGACAGCAGCACAATAATAGTGGGGGACTTCATCACTGGTAGTACTAGATGCGTCACCAAGACAGAAAGTCAACAAAGAAACAATGGATTAAACTATACCTTGAAACAAATGGACTTAACAGATATATGCAGAGCATTTCATCCAGCAAGCACAGGATACACATTCTATTGAAGAGTGCATGGAACTTTTTCCAAGATAGAATGTACGATACGCCATAAAGTGAGCCTCAATATATTTAAGAAAATTCAAATTATATCAGGCACTCTCTCAGACCACAGTGGAATAAAACTGGAAATCAACTCCTAAAGGAAACTTCAAGATGACACAAATACACTGAAATTAAACAACCTGCTCCTGAATGAGCATTGTGTCAAAAATGAAATCAAGATGGAAATTTAAAAAATTCTTCTAACTGAATAATAATACAAACATAACCTATCAAAACCTCTGAGATACATCTAAATTAGTGCTAAAAGAAAAGTTCATAGCTTTAAATGCCTACATCACGAAGTCTGAAAGAGAAGAGCACAAATAGACTATCTAAGGCACACTTCAAGGAACTAGAGAAACAAGAACAAAGCAAACCCAAACCAGCAGAAGTAAGAAAATAACCAAGATCACAGCAGAACTAAATGAAATTGAAACAAACAAAAAAATTCAAAAGATTAATAGCTGGTTATTTGAAAAGATAAATAAAATTGATAGACCATTAGAAAGATTAACCAAGAACAGAAAACAGAAAATCCAAATAACCTCACTAAGAAACGAAACAGGAGATATTACAAGTGACACCACTGAAATACAAAAGATCCTTCAAGGCTACTATGAACACCCTTATGCATGCAAACTAGAAAACCTAGAAAAGATGGATAGTTTCCTGGAAGAATACAACCCTCCTAGTTTAGGTCAGGAAGAATTAGATACCCTGAACAGACCAATAACAAGCAGTGAGATTGAAATGATAACTTAAAAAATTACCAACGAAAAAAGACCAGGACCAGACAGATTCACAGCAGAGTTCTACCAGATATTCAAAGAGAATTAGTACCAATCCTTTTGACACTATTTCACAAGATAGAGAAAGAAGGAACCCTTCCTAATTCATTCTATGAAGCCAGCATCACCCTAATATCCAAACCAGGAAAAGACACAACCAAAAAAGAAAAACTACAGACTGATACCATCAATGAATATAGATGCTAAAATCCTTAACAAAATATAGATAAATGAATCTAACAACAAATCAAAAAGATAATCCACCATGACCAAGTAGATATGCAGGGATGGTTCAACACATGTAAGTTAATAAATGTGATAAACCGCAGAAACAGAACTAAAAACAAAAATCAAATGATCATCTCAATAGATGCCGAAAAAGCATCTGACAAATTCCAGCATTGATTTATGATTAAAACCCTCAGCAAAATCGGCCTACAAGGGGCATAGCTTAATGTAATAAAAGCCATCTATGCAAACCCACAGACAATATATTCCTGAATAGGGAAAAGCTGAAAGTATTCCCTCCAAAAACTAGAACAATACAAGAAACAATATACTCTCACCACTCCTCTTCAACAGAGTATTAGAAGTCCTAGCCAGAGCAATCAGACAAGAGAAATAAATAAAAGGCATGCAAACTGGTAAAGAGGAAGTCATGTCTCTGCTGATGGTATGATCATTTACCTTGAAAACACTAAGGACTTCTCCAGAAAGCACCTAGAACTAATAAAAGAATTCAGCAAAGTTTCCAGATACAAAATTAATGTACATAAATCAATAGCTTTTTCTATACAACAATAGCAGTCAAGCTGAGAGTCAAATGAAGAACTCAACCTCTTTTATAATAGCTGCCAAAAATATAAAATACTTAGGAATATACCTAACAAAGGAGTCAAAAGACCTCTACCAGGAAAACCACAAAACACTGCTGAAATAAATCATAGACAACACAAACGAGTGTAAACACATCCCATGCTTATGGATGGGTAGAACTAATATTGTGAAAATGACCCTACTGCCAAAAGCAATTTACAAATTCAACACGATCCCCAACAAAATACTACCATCATTCTTCACAGAGTTAGAAAAAAACAATTCTAAAATTCATATGGAATAAAAAAAGAGCCCGCATAGCCAAAGCAAGACTAAGCAAAAAGAACAAATCCGGAGGCATCACACTACCTGATTTCAAGCTATACTATAAGGTCACCAAAACAGCATGATACTGGTACAAAAATAGGTACATATACCAATGGAGCAGATAGAGAACCCAGAAATAAACCCAAATACTTACAGCCAACTGATCTTTGTTTGACAAAGCAAACAAAAATATAAAGTTGGGGAAAGGACACCACTTTCAAGAAATGGTGCTAGGATAATTGGCTAGCCACATAGAATGAAACTGGATCTTCATCTCTCACCTTATACAACTGTCAAACCTCAAGATGGATTCAGGACTTAAACCTAAGACTTGAAACTATAAAAATTCTAAATGTAATATTGGGAAAAAACTTCTAGACTTGGCCTAGGCAAGGATTTCATGACCAAAACCCCAAAAGCAAATGCAACAAAAACAAAAATAAATAGCTGGGGCCTAATTAAACTAAAGAGCTTTTGCACAGCAAAAGGAACAGACAGAAGAGTAAACAGACAACCGACAGAATGGGAGAAAAATCTTCACGATCTATACATCTGACAAAAGACTAATATCCAGTCTATAATGAACTCAAACAAGAAAGAAAAAAACAATCCTATCAAAAAGTGGGCTAAGGATATGAATAGACAATTCCCAAAAGAAGATACACAAATGGCCAACAAACATATGAAAAAATGCTCAACATCACTAATGATCAAGGAAATGAAAATCAAAACTACAGTGCAATATCATCTCACTCCAGCAAGAATGGCCATAATAAAAAAAAATCAGTCAAAAAACAGTAGTTGTTGTTGTGGATGGGTGATCAGGGAACATTTCTACACTGCTAGTGGGAATGTATGGAAAACAGTGAGATTCCTTAAGGAAGTAAAAGTAGCCACTATGGGAAAACAGTGTGGAGATTCCTTAAGGAAGTAAAAGTAGAACTACCATTTGATACAGCAATCTCACTACTGGGTACCCAGAGGAAAAGAGGATATTATTCAGAAAAGAAACTTGCACACAGATGTTTATAGTAACACAATTCACAATTGCAAAATGGTGGACCAACCCAAATGCCCATCAGTTAATGAATGGATAAACTGTGGTATATATATATATATATATATATATATATATATGATGGAATCCTACTCAGTCACATAAAGGAACAAACCAACAGCATTTGCAGTGACCCAAATGAGACTGGCAACTGTTATTCTAAGTGAAGTAACTCAGGAATGGAAAACCAAACATTGTATATTCTCACTGATATGTGGGAGCTAAGCTATGAGAATGCAAAGGCATAAGAATGATACAATGGACTTTGGGGAATTGGGGGGAAGAGTGGGAGAGAGCAGAAAGATAAAAGACTACAAATATTGTGCAGTGTATGCTGCTCGGATGATGGGTGCACCAAAATGTCACAGATCACCACAAAAGAACTCACTCATGTAACCAAATACCACCTGTACCCCAATAACTTATGAAAAAAAAGAAGCCCACCTATATTCAGTTAACTAAACATTGATTTTAAAAAAAGCCATGAATAGACACTGGGCAAAGAATAGTCAATTCAATAAAAATAATGAGTTACACAGTAAAATTAATGAGAGTGAAAATGGACTAAGTACATTTGAAATCATTGATGACTGTCTACTGCCATGTTTGGTTAAATTCATTTATGTATACTTTTGAAAGCTTTAGAAGTAGATGGTATGGTATAAGAGTATGCTTTTTATAATTTAACTGTTTTACTATGGTGTTTGAAATCATCTCAAACTTTGAAAATACTGGGCACTACACCTTAGGTAACACATGCATATTATTATTTTTATGAAAAATTAGATTTGACTCTGATAACTTCAAGTTATAAAGTCTTAATGTTTTATAATCAAAAAGTTCATCAATTTGCTTGACTCCATTATAGTATTATAATACACAGCACAATATTCATATAGAAAATAATATGGTTCCACATCTTTATTTTACTCAGTTATCCAGCCAGTTCCTTTTCTCCCATAGATGGTCAGAAGTACCACCCAGATCCCAGATGTTATCTACCATCCTTATTAAACCCAATTATCCCTTGATATACTTTAACAATCATACAGAAATATATAAACTGGTACTAAAAAATAATTAGTATTTGTGCAAATCCACACCCCTAGAAACAGATAAAAACCAATTGCTGGAGAAAGCTGAATGGACAATGCTTCCATAACCCAGATCTGACTCCACACCTCTCCCCACCCAACTTCAGATATTGTTCATGATCTTAAGTATTGGTGAGAACCAATATTCAGAGGGAGACATATGAGAAACTGGAATTTTGATTTAAATTTGGGTAAGGAAAGGAAATGAGAACACAGCTGTTCACAGTGTATAAAACTCACTTCAGTGAGGAATATTACTACGATGATACTGTCTTCCGACCTTCTAGGACCTTCTACTGAGAGCTTATAGAGATAACACATTGTCTCCGGAAACTGTGGAAAGTTATAGTCACTGAGAGTTCTGTAAAAGAGAATAAGGCACTGAATTAGCAAAGGAAAAAACACTATGCTAATAGTGGTAAAGAGAGAATCATTATTCTAATATCTTGTACCTCCCAGATAAAAAGTAAGATATTCTTTAATATTCCCTAAATAAATTGTAGTCCCACAGTGAATTCTACACATACTTTTCAGAATTATAAATAATTGGATCCCTTTCAGCATCTTTCCTTAATGTCACTTCTCTTTCTTGTCTCTCCCATCCTTTGCCACAGAACAGAATACCCTATTTTAGTACAAGCTCCCATCAATTCTTGACTAAAAGGAGAGGAAATAAATATCTAGTGCTCAGTCCAAGATGGCTGGATGCAGTTCATCTTTGTGGTTTTGGACCAAGCTCTTTCTTTGAATGATATAATGCTGATGAGAGTTTGGGACTGTCTTGGATTACTCAGGAAAAGAGGTGGTGAGCTTTGATTCACTATGCCATTCTCCAGAACACACTCAGATGGTGGCCAGCCTCATGCTTGTCCTGATATAGTGGCCTGGGTCAGATCAGTAAGGGCAGAATTACGAAGGATAATGTGACAAAGTTTCCATTAAGCTTCCAGGCTGGTCTTCCAAACCAGTGCTTCTCAAACTGCAATGTGCTAATAAATGACCCTGGGGTTAATGCTAAAATACAGATTCTGATTCAGTAGGTCTGGAGTGGGCCATGAGATAGATTCTGAATTTTTAACGCTCTCAGGTGATGCTGTTGCTGCTTGTCTGTGGACCACACTTTGAGTAAGAAGATCCAAAGGTACTTCTTAGATATCCTTAGAGTGACACTCAACTTGTGACAACTTGTAGGGTGCATATGTACTACACTTTAACACAGTATGTGTTCCTAAAATCTATTTACAAATGAGATGCTTTTATAAAAGCACCAAGGCCTCATAGACCACACAGAGAGTACTTTCTGGGTCAGGCACAACTTGAAGTTGTCAAGAGCCTGTGTTTTGATTCTTGATCAGAGAATCTGATCCCTACCATCAGAAACTTGCTGTTCACTAAAGGGTTCACTAGAAAAGCTCCTCTTCTATTATTCTTTTCCAAGTTTATTTGGCTCATTGAGTAGGTTTTTATTGGACCTCTTTCAAGTGGGAATACATCTGAAACTGATGCCTGCAGAGCAGGAATCAGCTAAAATCAGAGGGAAAAAAACAAACTCACCTCTAGTTTTTTGCATCTGTAGAAAAAAAAACCTGTTCTGTGGAGGGAGGATAATTGGGCATCTGTATCATCAGGCAAGAGGGCAAAAAAAGAAAAAAAAATTTTCAAATAAAAACACTTCAAAATAATTGAAGAAGTAGAAATCAAATAGCAACTCAGATCGTTAAGAGAGATTTGGAAATTGGAGTAGATGCCTATTTAGTTCCTCCATAGCTTACTTGAAGGAAGTTGGAGAAGGTGGGATAGAGACCAAGAATCCTACAGAGCCCCCAGTTCTTACTTTGCAAGAAGGTATACTCTATAATGGTGATGCGGCTCTTCAGATAGTTGGTTCCAGAAACCATTTTTCATTAGAGTGATATCCACCTGTTGTAGTCCAGAACAATTCAGCAGAACTCTCAGGGCATCCTGGGCATATCTAAAGCACCAAAAGAGAGTAGGGTCATCACCTGTCAATGATATTAAAAAAACTAAGTGCACATTACCTGCCTTTTCATTCCATGTTGGGCAGAATACAGGTTTTGACAAAGGGGTTGTCTCAAAGGAAAAAAAATTACTAAATGTCCTTCATCTTCCCTGATTGACGGTACATGGGATAGGGGATAAATTGAAATTGTGGACATAAAATCTAGCAATAATCTCAGAACAGCTTATTTGCTTATTATTAATAGCTCATTTGCCAGAGATGAATTTGAAAGAGATGTTCAACGATGCAATGACTTGCTAAAGGTGTCCATTTTCTTCTATGGATGTCTTAAATGAATAGGATATATTCTCATCTAGTTGGGATGCTTTGGTGTATGTCTTCTTGGAGAATAGGTAGTAGATTATATACCTTAATAGAACTGATTGTGTTTTATAACTCTGCCTGGCTTAAAATCCACACTAGACAAGGGAAAATAGTAGACATTTGGGTTGATATTTCCCTGTTGGGTAGCAAAATCAACTGTACTCTCTTGGATAAAAGGAAATTGCCAAACTTCTATGTGGACAGACAACTTCATGTGGTTATAAACTCATATATGACACCTCCAACCACAAATTAACTTTACAGTTCACAAAGTACATGTGAGCACATCATTTTTTTCTTATAGTAGAATAACCCTGAGAGGTTCCAGCAAAAAGTAGGTAGATGGCAGAGCAAAAATGTATCTGGTTTTGGATGTAATACTCTGCTCTCTTTTCTGTGGTAACCTCTTACTGATCTGATAGGGAGTGTGGTAGGAAGCAACAGAGTTCTGTGGTCCTGGCTCTTATATGTTACACATGCTCATGGAAGGTGAGCTAACTTCTAGGTAATCGGGCTGGTTCCTTTTCTGAAGGAATTCTACCATTGAGAGGAGAGAAAACTGTAATAAATGAACACACTGCATATGGGGCTGTAAAGAATCCCATATGAACCTCCAAGGGGGTAGAAGTATTGACAGCTGGATGCTTATCTCTTACATAATCTGAAATAACCACCATTATCTCACAAAGTTCTGTCCGTGGACATCAGTCTCAGCTCACTGCTGTAGAAGACTTGGAAGATAAGGGCCATCAAGAGCTGGGGGAAAAACTGGGCCACCGCTTTCTTGTAGGAACCAAGAGGCAGAAAGGTGCATAGGGCCTGGGATGCCTATAAGGGAAAGAAATAGAAGGTAGAAATGTAAACAGTTTTTCTCTAAACCCAGTCAACCTTACTGAGGGGAGCAAGGGAGTGACTCTGAAACCCCTCCTTCAGCCTCCTTGAAGAAAACCTAAAATATGTGGGTACCTATTCATTCATTAACAGCTGCTACATCAATTGTGAGCCAGGAACTGTGCCAAGCATACCATGGTAAGGGAATCTCAAGGCACTATACAAACACCCTGGCTGCCAAACCAGTGGGAAAACATGTCAGAAAACTTTATAGGTTATTTTATATAATAAAATTAGGCAATAAGAACACATATTTTTACAAACATAAACACAGGTATACTAACAACAGTCATATGGGTAACAGTTATGAGCTGACAAACCATATTCTTAAAGAAATAGCTTATATAACTGTGTTCATCTGAAATCCCTTGGTGGACAACATAAGTCTTTTGACAAGACAGACCAATGGATCACCACCATATATGCTGTCACCTAAAGAGCCGAGATCTCAATAAATTTTATCTTTCTTGAAGAAAGCAAATATACAACAATACATCTCATTTATTGAGGAAGTTTCAACATTTTTATGTACAAGTGCAATGCTTAAACACAAAGTCAGTGTGGTGACAGTGCATCTTCATGGAGACAGATTTGCAAAAAAAATGCATAAAAAGAATTAGAACCCTCTAAAAGTTTGTACACAATTTATATCTCCAGTATTGGAAATGAAGTATGCAGTATAGCAAATTAGAAGCAATAATGATGACAACTTAAAATAATGAGAGAAATACATTAAAAAGAAAGTAGAAAACAATCTAAACGAAAATTCAACATATAAAAAACAATAGGGATAAATTATGGGCAATTGCATAGAGGTGGTCTATTAGAACCTGGTCAACTTTTATGATCATTAATTATATTTTGAAGTCCTTCATTGTGATGAATGGCTGTTATTTTTTCTTTTAGGGCATGACTCTCCATGGAGAATATGTTTACATTCATTTTATATGTGATGCTACTCTTTTTGAAATTATTTTGTGATTTGACAGATACTAACTTGAGCATTTCCTCTTACATTTTCCCATCTTCTGTACCATGCTTTTATGTTGTTTTGACATGCAGAAATCTATTTCACATGCACTCATAGAAAGACCACAGATTTGGAGGAAGCAATACTGGTGATTGAACAGCAACACCATTCCATAATTGTCTTCTTCTCCCACTGTACACATAATTAGACCAGTCAGTAACTTGTCTGGCTTCTTCAAGGCAAATACGGCTTTAATTTATCAAAATCTCTTGGAATTTCATCAGCTACAAGGAATGCCAATGCAAACAAATGGCATATTTTACAACTAAAATTTTCATCATTGCCATATTGCCTGGCTAATCCACTCATATGAATTTTCCTAGAAATACTTTGGACTGAATGGAAAAAGCAAACATTATTTGTGACAACTTAAAATTCACTTTTAGAAGTCTTTTTTTTTTTTTTTGAGACAGAGTTTTGCTCTTGTTACCCAGGCTGGAGTGCAATGGCGCAATCTCGGCTCACTGCAGCCTCCGCCTCCTGGGTTCAGGCAATTCTCCTGCCTCAGCCTCCTGAGTAGCTGGGATTACAGGCACAAGCCACCATGCCCAGCTAATTTTTTGTATTTTTAGTAGGGTTTCACCATGTTGACCAGGATGGTCTCGATCTCTTGACCTCGTGAGCCACCTGCCTCAGCCTCCCAAAGTGCTGGGACTACAGGCGTGAGCCACCATGACCGGCCATTTTTAGAAGTCTTGATTGTACCTGATTCCAAATCTATCATTACAGTTTGGGGATTCAATCAGATGATAGAAATTTTAGACTTTTAGAATTTTAATCTTTTAGAATTATAATATTCAAGATTATGGTGTTCATGATTTTGCCTTTAGGGATTGTAATTGGCATTGTAAAAATACATATTCCAACATATCACATTTGTGAAGCAGTGCCAACTTTATACTACTCTGTCTCTGTAAGACCTTAGTTTACATTTTGGTTTTCAGGAGATATAAAATGATGGACACAAATGAGATTAGGTCTTTCCCTGGCTACAAAAGCCTATATGATCTAGCCACTGTCTACTTCTTTCATATCATCTCCTCTACTTTCATCTCAATTGCCGAATTCACTGATTGTTTGGCCTCCTTGTATTCTCTAACATACTAAGTAAATGTCCATCAGTATGAGACTTTTCCCTTCTCTCAGTCTAGAACTCTCTAACTCAGATATATGTAAGGTTCATATCCTCACCTGATTCAGGTCTCTGATTAGATGCCACTTCAGCAGAGAGGCCTGCCCTGACCCACTTACCTAAACTTTGCCAGTCACTTTCTTTCTCCCACACCACTATATATGTCTTTTAAGCTTTATACCATCTGATTTACAACACAATTATTTGTTAATTATCTGTTTCTTACCAAAACATAAGCTCCATGATAGGGCACAGCACATAATAGACACTCAATAAATATGTGCTACATGAATAGATGCATGAGAGGAGGACTGTGTTAAGAAAGTAGGATTAAATCTGTGGGCAGATAGGGATTTTTACAATGGGGAAGACAATACTGAGAAGAAGAAACACTCATGTTATTTACCGCCAAAGGCATCATGTTGGTAGCATCAAGAGAGAAACGTTTTTTTTCTGTTAGGCTGTCCTCCACTTCCCTAGGCTTTCCTTTCAGTATCAGTAAGATTGTCTTCAGTATGTGAGGGGCCGGGGTGGCCTCAGCACCTGCCGCCTGCCACATCTCCATCAGAGTGCTGCAAACACAGCCCCCCCATACAATGAAAATCATGTTTGTCATATCCTACTTGACAGAAGAACAAGAATCAGGAAAAGAGTCTTGGTTTTACATCCTTAAACAGCAAAGATGCTGCAGACATGTCCAAAACAAACTGAGATTCCCACTTCCAAAGGATCCCACAAGGCTTTTATGCTGGAAAACAGAATTTCAGTAAGACCTATGGAAAATACCAGAGTCTGGTCTGAAAGTTCATTTTTACTGCTATTTAAATGTCTGTCTAGCTCACTGTCAAGAACTAATCAGCTTTCTGTACTCAATACTTCCTCTGCTCCTCTCGCTTTGTGACTTTGTTGGTCAGGGAATAATATAATATTTAAAAACTGGCATGGGAATACAAATTCATAAGTAGATTAATATAAAAATAAAAAATTATCCCCAACTAAAAAACAAACCATATAAATAGTGAAAATAAAAAAAAAAAAACTGAGCTCAGAAGAGTGAGCCATTTTGTCAAATATCACACAATTAGTGACACAGATGCTGTTAAAAATCCTGGATTCTCAACCTCCAGTCCCCTAGCTCCTTTCCCTGTATACTCAACACCCTTCAAGATTAGCCCTACTATTGCCCATCTTAAAAACTGCTATACACCTCTGCACTGATAAATTTCTGATATCTGGCCAGTTCTTGGTTCTGACACCTATTGCTCAACCTTTCTGTTTAGGTTCATCATATGGGTGCCTGATCCCTTGGAATATGGACATACCCAGCTCTGTAGCACCTACTACCTACCTGCTCCTGCCTACAGGTCTTACTTTTAATCACATGGACATCAACTCTCAAATGCCGTGTCTCCTTGTCTTATCTCTTGTTCATACATTTTGGCTGAGCAAATCTTTCATGTGTTCCTTTGGTTTAGTTTCACTTCAGATCCTGGCCTTTTCTACCTCAACCCTTACCTATAATTAGACCTGCTGGTAGTGGCTTTAAGTTCACCTAATTAATTATGCCTGCTTTCTGTACTTCCTCAGCACATATTGCTTGTACCAGATTTATTGGCAATTTTTATCTTATATGCATGTGGATATATTTCCTCTCCTCAACAAAATGCTTGAGGGCCAGTAATACCTTACACAAAGTGGGTGCTTAGTTCCTGGATGTTAGATTGTCTTATGAAGATCTTTCTAGGAATTTTATAAATAGTAAAATACTTTGTGAGTTAAAGCTTCCTAAATAAATACAATCTTTCAGTCTGAAAAATAGTTATGTGATTTATTTAGACTTTTGTTAATCTCAATGACCTGTCACAGAAATTAATTCACTTATCTATAGATAGAAAGAACTTTCCTCATTTTCTATATGAGGAAATTTAACATCAGGGAGTTTTATCAAACTTTCATAATGTCACACAGAATGTAAGATTGTGTGGAAACAGATTCATTTATTTCCAAAGACCTAGTCCTCTTAATAATAAAACGCCCTGCTTTTTACACTGTTCATAGTTAAGAAGTACTATCTTGATTTCTAGTGTTTATACAAACTGTAGAAAAGGAGTGGTGTGATTTTTCTAAGCTCTTCTAATGTACCTATTAGGTTCATATTGTCCTATAGGATCACATTTGCACTTTTTCTTCTTAAACTTTTCTTGTGATCCAGAATCATAAATTTCAGATTAACAGTCAAAGGACACAGGACACCCAATTATAATGTTTGTTACTGGTGTGTAGAAATATCTTATATCTGTTCTTCACAAAAAGAAAAACACTATGTCTACAAATTTATTTCCTCAACAGAAATGAGTAAATTCACAAATGGGAATAAAAATCCATTATCACTTTGAGGAGAGTTTCGTTCCTCTGGGACATGTACCAGAACACAATTTAATGTCTCAGATAAATAATAGTGACATTGATCATTTCTTTTGGGCCTACTGTGTTTTAGGTATTATACAAAGATATGCATACTACATATGATTTTATTTAAGTCTTACATCATTCCACATGATGCAAAAATAGATTTTTTCTTTCAGAAAAAAGAAACCAGGCCCGACTATGGTAGATTGAGAGTTGAGCCCAGGTCCATGTGAACAAGCCCTCCTGGAAGAGTCAGAGGATTGGGGGGCCTTACTCATCTGCTGGAACTGGGTAGTCCATAAGTTGAAAGATGACCTTCTTGGGTGAAGTACGTGTCAACAAAGTGATAACCCGCAACATAGCACACTTCATATTGTGAAAACGGTTTTCACGTAATTGCTTATAAATAGCATCCACGATCTTAGACACCTGTAAGAGAAATTCCACAGGTACAAGAGTCTCCTGTTCCATGGTCACCTCTAAACCAAGGCATTTCTTGGACATAAGAATTTGCTTTTTCACAGAAGTACCAAGGCAGCAACTAGCACACAAATAAGCACTAGTAGAAAGTGTATTTATATGTGTGACTACACAATGCAAAATATTCATTTGGACAAAGACAAAATCTGTGCATTTATAGGTAGCAGGAAAATGTCCATTTCCTTAAAAGTTTATTCTGGGAGGGTTGAATTCATTCTATAAGAAATATAAGCTCAGTATAGGAAACATACATATAATTCAAGTCCTTAAAGCAGAAAATCAAAACAGTGGAACAGAATAGCAATAGAACCACAGCGTATACTTCAAAAAAACTTTTGCAAGTTAAAGATGGTTTGAGTCCACATACTGAAGGGATGAACCATGTATCAGAGGAAAGACCCTGAATGGTAAACACTAGGCTACAGTCTTGTAAACTCTACTCATAGGCCCCATGTTAGTTTCATTTCTCCCCCTCTTTTTACTCATTAAAGAACAAGGAGAGTTCTAGCTGGATCTGACATTTGTCTCAAATCAGTGGCTGTGTATCAATATCAAATTTAATCCACCCAGATCATCTCACTTCTTATTTTGAAAACAATCCTTTGCATTTTTTCCTTCTTAAATATTTCTTGTGATTCTAGATCATAAATTTTAGTCTAACAGAGATTATAAGCTGAAATATTAGTTGATGCAAATTTACATTGCCCTGCAGTTATGCCACACACAATTCAGTTATCTGTACAGCTGTCTTTGGCAAACAAAAGAAAAATAAAATGTTAAAATGTGCAGGGTACTTTTTCAACTATGTAGGCTCCAAGGTGAGCAAGAAATGAGAGACATTAAACTACACTTTCCATAGACCTTTCAACTATAGGATTTAGAGCTTCTTGCAGTTGTTCTCTTCCTAGTTTAAGTGCAGATACCTCTAAAGCAAACCACCTATGTCACTGGGTGCTTAATTATAGAAATTTATGCTAATATATGTTCAGTTATATTAATGATAGTCTGTTTCAATTTTTTTATGAATATTTGATGTTTTAGGATTATTTAGAGATTATAAGCCCATATACTATCAATGCCGTTTAGAGGATTCTTAGGGATATTTCTAGCCTTATAACTCATTTTGGAACCTAACCCTGTGTAAGACAAGAATCCAATGTGTTCATTAGTCTAGTTGCTTGTGGGAGCTGGGGTGGGGGTCATAAATTGAGGAGCCTGTTTTGTTCAGATTTTCTGTGGTTAGTGATTTCACTGTAGCAGAGGCTAGTTTTACACATCTAGTTTTCTGTTTTTTCTCTCTTCCTCTCTAGGGACTTGGTAAGGTTTCATTTCACCTTCCTTTGAGTGCTCTTTCCCACTTCACTAGAGGAGAACTCGATATTTTAAGATGACCATTGCCTCCCACCTCTCCCTGTGGTTGTGTTTGCACTACAGAATGCTCCCATATGCAGCAGCAGCATTGCGAGTTCTATATAAAGCATCACCTCCCCTTTCCTGCTCTATGAATTTGACTAAGACTTCTCAGTTTATTTTCAATCACCTTGCACTCCTGTGTCAGAAGAGGGAACTGGAGGTTCATTCCTCATGTCACCATCAGTGCTGGTTTCATGGGCCTGTGACCTACATGTTTGCACAGGGCTCCATGCTGAGAAGATATGCTTACTTTGTTTAAAGCTCTTCCACTATCATCTTTAACTTTTAAATAATTTTATCTTTGTGATTGTATTTTGTAAATCAAGTCCCATGGGACAGTGGAGCAGAGGAGATACAATATGTGAGTCTGCCATTGTTCCAGTGGTCCCATATACATGCAGTGTTCACAAAATTCCAGGGGACCCATAATGTGGAACTCAGTGGAAAAACAAGATAAACATCTTATTGAAACTTTAACCTACTTAAAAAATTCCTACTTAGTCTGAAAATGACATAAAAGGAAAGAGAGAGGGTAGCCCCTAAATTATTTTCCTTTCAGGTTTTCCTTACCCATCAATAAGCTGAAGGAAGAGAATGTTGGTAGGATATGTGAATGACAAAAAGTGAAATTTTTAAAGTTGAGCTAGTTTTGTGTAGTGTTTCTGCCCCTTTGAAAAGATTGTAATATGTATGCATGTGTGAGCTTGAAACACAAATGGCATCATTTTGGTGATTCTGCATATGAGCTAAATGATCCTATGTTTACATTTGTAACAGGCATTGCACAATATATGTATGGATAGTAAAATCTGTGTTCATGACTAAAAAATGTTACTTGTTCTTTTTGCTTAGAAAGACATTAAGTAGCAAACAAAACCACTGTGAAGAATTGAGAGAGAGAGACGGTGGAGGAAAGGCAAACACTGCATGTGCTTATACATTTAATAACATCATTTCCCATGTTGTGAGAAGCAGTCCCAGATTTCATTCTGCACAGAACCCCACAAATTATATAGCCAGCTCTATGGCAAGCTGAGGGTCTTTGAAATCTCTCCTTAAGGGATACACAGGGGATTTCAATTACAGCTATACTATTTTATTGCTATTAATGTATTTCTTTAAAAATTCTAAAGCAAATATGGCAAAATATTATGATTTAATATGATTGGTGGACAAGCATTCATTACTTACTCTCTAAAATTGTTTGTATGCTTGGAATATTTCACGCAAACAGTTCTCAGGCCAGGTGTGGTGACTCATGCCTATAACCCTAGTGCTTTGGGAGGCCAGGGTGGGAGGATTGCTTGAGCCCAGGAGTTTGACACCAGCCTGGGCAACATAGGAAGACCTCCATCTCTACAATTTTTTTAAATTATCTGGGTGTGGTGGTACACACCTGTAGGTCCCAGCTGCTTAGGAGGCTTAGGTTGGAGGATTGCTTAAGCCCAGGAGTTCGGGGCTTCAGTGAGCCAAGGTTTCACCACTGCACTCCAGTCTGAGCCACAGAGCAAGTAAACTTAAAAAAACCCCCAAAGCCTCATTCTATTGAAGTAATATAATGAACAATGCCAAGAAGTACATATGAGAAGAAGTAGATATACAAGAAAGGCAAAAATGCACAGTAGAAAGTAAACCCTGTGCTCTCCTGCTTATTGTCAAGTATCTTACCATGGTGACCTTCTCAGAATGAAATGTCAGAGTCAGTGTCAGTATGGATGCTGCCTCAGTTGCGATTTTATCATCAGGTGAAGAGAGTTTCATCAGGAGACTCCGCACAAAGTCAGTCAGCAAGGAAGGCAGTAAGGATTGTCCTATGGTCTGCAACCAAAAAGAAGAGTCATGACCTCAGTCTTTATACCAACATAAGACAGCAAAACTCAGACTTGGTGGGGGATGTTCAGGAGCCAGGACTTCCATGGGCCATATGCACCTTGTTGGAGGCTCCTTCCTCTATGAAAAATATTAAAAATTACATTTTACAACAATATTGGTACAAAAATGACTGCAATCCAAGTGAAATTATATTTATTTTTTTCTGATTTTAAAGCAATTCAACTGTTCAAATATTATCATGAATTTCTTCAGTTTTGAAAATGAGTTTGATCGAAAACAAGTACGAAGAAAGCAGATGATGCAGGAGGTGACAGGGTGAGAAAGTCAAGGGAACTCAAAGGCATGGATGTTCCTCTTTTACAGAAAAGGATCAGGAAGCAGAAAGAAATAAAAGACCTTTGTGTCCATGATTGAGGTGTAAGAACTACAATTCAAGCAATCCCTTTTTAAATTTAGAGGACTATCCATAGATTGTAAAATTGGAACAAAATCACGTTGATTATAGATTTCTCAATTAAAGAAAGATAAATGAGCCAAATTTTATTTTTTTTTGCCTTTATATGGAAAAAGAAGTCATTCTCTCAAGTACAGAGGATACCCAATCTAATCAATAAAAGTTTTCTGCACCCTCTTTAAAGGGACAATTCCAGGACACTGGGGTGGAGGATGGAAGGATGAGGGAAGATTTGCTAGTAAACAAACAGATGCTTGGTTTCTTTATGTAAATGAATGTAGTCAACCAGGCTTGAGATTTTTTGAGGGGAGGTGGGAAAGAATAACTTTTGATTTTGGAAAGATGTACCATTGGGCTTCTACATATTTGAGACATCTATGCAGTATTTTTGACCATATCATGTGAGACGTATTGCTTCTGTGTCTCCTCAGCCTCCCACAATTCTACCAATCTCAGCCATGGAAGAAGACACTGCTTTATACATGTAGTTTTAAGAGGAAACCCTAGATCTTCCCATCCCAAGTGATGAGCTAGCCTAAAGGGTTTCCCCAGAAGTTTTGCTAAACTACTGGCTCAATGTGTGTGTCTGGAAGGTGCTGGACAGCCCAACCTGGCCCCAGTGTTGTATAACTTCTGGAGCTTATGGCTAAACTTAGGTAGTTTGAAGAAGGTGAGGGAGTATATACAACTATAGAGCCTCACAGTTCTCCCAAAGGTTGAGACAGTGTAAAAACTACTTACTTGGTACTGAGGTTTATCATATAGGCTTTTAAAATTTTTATTTTTCATTTAATAGCTCTTCTAAACAAAATCAAAATCACAGTGTCATTATGGTGTTTGCAGAGTAAATTATATATCTACTTCTTCTATGATAGTATTGGCAAGTCTGTTAACTGATAAATTATTAATTTTTAAATTTTTAAATTATTAATTATTAATTTTTAAATTATTAATTTTTCTAAATAATAAGTTCTCCATTTATAGTGTACTATTTCTTAGCCAAACAAAAAGAAGTGTAACTAGGAAATACCTCATTTGCTTTCTATAAGGATTAATACAAATTAGTATATTTGGTAATACGAGGCATAATTATTAACAGAGATGAAAATCAGAAAACTAAATGGTCTATAATCATTTACATTTTACCATACTGAGTTTAAAAGGAAATGAAAAAATACAACATAAACTTTTTTGAAATAAATTGCTACTAAGAATAATAATACATATTAACAAAGCCTCTGGAAAAAAATGAGGGCTAAGTTACCTGAGCAATTTTATGTTTGTCTTGTCGAAACTTCTTGGCAAGAAATTTTACATCAGAAGAAAACAGGAGGCTATGACTTTTACTGTCTGTAGGGTTACTTTTTCCAATATCCGCTGTGTTAAGCAAAAGAGTTTAAGGTTGTTATTTGATCACTGGTTTCTTCTATGGCATTAGTATTTCCAATTTTCTTTTCCTGCCCAGTTCTGGAGAGCTAAAGTTTTCTGATTATTTAACTCTCTGCTCATAGTTTAGTCTCATGAAATATTATGGCACTGACCCAGGATTCATTAAGCGTTTAAGAAAGTCCATGTGAAATATGAATAAAGGACAAATACTTTTAATAATAGACTGACAAGATAACGAATACATATAGACCATCAAATGCACAGTTCAGTGTGCTGGAAAAGCTAATGCCAAGCTGGAGGGTCTGTTGGTAGGGAGAGTAGACTTAGAGGCATTTGAAAAAATCCTGAGTAGGAGTAGATCAGGGAAGTCAGAAGTGCTCAGCAAAAGCTTCAGGTGCAGATAACTTCAGTTCCAGAGAAAGTGAGTTTTAAATGATTTTGTTTTTTTAAAAATAGCTCTATAGAGATATAATTGTCATTTATTTATTTATTTTGTTTTGTTTTTTTAAATCTTTTTGAGATAGGATCTAACTCTGTCACCCAGGCTGGAGTGCAGTGGTGCAAACAGGGTTCACTACAGCCTTGACCTGCTGGCTTAAGTGATCTTTTCACCTTAGTCTCCCCAGTAGCTAAGACTGCAGGCACATGCCACAATGCCCAGCTAATTAAAATATTTCATAGAGATTGGGTCACACTATGTTGCCCAGGCTCGTCTCCAACTCCTGGGCTCAAGTGATCTGCCCACCCAGGCCTCCCAAAGTGCTGGAATTATAGGTATGCGCCACTGTGCCCAACCCATATAACATTTCTAAAGTACACAACTTGTTAAGTTTTTGTATATCTATACACTCAATCAAACATTACCACAGGAAAAAAAATGAACATATCTATTGCCTCCAAAAGTTTCCTCATGCCCTTCTGTAACCCCTCACACATACTCCCCACACCCATCCTCTGACTCCAAGGCAACTGCTGATCCACTTCCTGTCATCTGCTCTCAAGTTGGTACTTTCTAATTTTATATGAGTGAATCATACTGTATACACTTTTTTTTTGGTTTGGCTTCTTTCACTCAGCAAAACTATTGAGATTTATCCATATTGTGGTACATATTAATAGTTTGTTCCTTTTTACCAGTGAATAATGTTATATGTACATGCCCAAATCTCTTTATCTATTTGCCTATTAATGGACATTCAGGTTGTTTCTGATTTGGGGCTATTACAAATAAGGATGTTATGAACATTCATGTATCAGTAAGTGTTTGTATGAACAATTGTTTTCATTTCTCTCAAGTAAATATAAAGTTGTAGAATGCTGAGGTCCCTTTCTCTGCTATCTCCAAGTTGGGAAGGGAACATAAACCTTGAGATTACCCCAAAGTTGTGGTGGGCATCTCAGAAGTGCCAAGCCATAATCTAAAGCCAACACTCAAGTGGGAGAGGAGCCCACACTTTCAGAGCACTGAGAAGGAGCACAGCTGCAACTATGAGGAAATATAGAGGTGTCACAACTGAGCAAGAGTCTACCAACTGACCACTATGCCTAAGTGCCATCAACCAGATCACACCCTAAAGCTTCAACATCAAAAATACCTCACTAACATATCCATGAAACCAGAGATGAGAAGTCAGTTTCAAATACAGACCCTGCACAAGGCTCAGCCCTTGAAGACATCCAGAAAAGAAGTCTACTGACTATATGCAATCTATACTACAGTTAAAGGAATATTGTCATGCGGAGCTGTGAAAGAACCAGTAACTCAAATGGCTTGAGTGTCTTATGTCCTCAAGATGACTGTAGTAGTTCTCCAGCAAGGGTTCTTAACCAGGCTGAGTTAACTGAAATTACAGAAATAGAAATCAGAATATGGATAGGAATGAAGATCATTGAGATTCAGAATAGCAAAACCCAATCCAAGGAAACTAAGAATCACAATAAAATGGTACAGGAGCTGACAGATGAAATAGCCAGTATAAAAAACCTAACTGGCCTGATAGACCTGAAAAACACACTACAAGGATTTCACAATACAAATGCAAGTATTAACAGCAGAATAGACCAAGCTAAGGAAAAAAATATTGAAACTTGAAGACTGGCCCTCTGAATTAAAATAGTCAGAGTGAAAAAAAGGAAACAAAATGTAAAGGAAAGAACAAAACCATTGAGAAATACAAGATAATGTAAAGAGGCCAAATGTATGTGTCATTGCTGTTCCTCCAATAGATGGAGAGAAAGAAAACAACTTAGAAAATATTTCAGGATATCATCCATGAAAACTTCCTCAACCTTGCTAGAGAGGTCAACAGTCAAATTCAGGAAATACAGAGAACCCCTGCCCAGGTCTACACTAGAAGATCATCCCCAAGACACATAATTGTCAGATTCTCCAATGTCAAAATGAAAGAAAAAAAATGTTAAAGGCACCTGGAAAGAAAGGGTGATCACCTATAAAGGGAAGCCCATCAGACTAACAGCAGAAACTGTAAAAGGCAGAAGAGACTGGGGGCCTGTAATCAACATTCTTTTTTTTTTTTTTGAGGCCAAGTCTTGTTCTGTCACTTAGGTTGAAGTGCAGTGGTGTGATCTTGTCTTGCTGTACCCTCTGCTTCCCGGGTTTAAGCAATTTTTTTTGCCTCAGCCTCCTGAGTAGCTGGGATTGTAGGCATATATCATCATGCCTGGCTAATTTTTGTATTTTTAGTAAAGATGAGGTTTCTCCATGTTGACCAGACTAGTCTTGAACTCCTGGCCTCAACTGATCCAACCACCTCAGCCTCCCAAAGTTCTGGGATTACAGGTATGAGCCTCTGTGCTTGGCCTCAACATTCTTAAAGAAAATAAACTTCAACCAAAAATTTTATATCTGGCCCAACTAAGCTTCCTAAGCAAAAGAAAAATTTTGACCAGCAAATGCCAAAGGAATTTGTTACCACTGATCTGCCTGATAAGAGCTCTTCAAAAGAGCACTAAATATGGAAAGGAAAGACCAGTACCAGCCACAGCAAAAACACACTGAAGTATGTAGATCAGTAATACTATAAAGCAATTACACAAACAAGTCTGCATAATTAGCCAGCCAACATCATAATGACAGGATTAAATCCATAAATGTCAATTTTAACCTTGAAGGTAAATGGGCTAAATGCTTCAATTAAAACACACAGAGTAGCAAGCTTAATAAAGAACCAAGACCCAGTGATATGCTATGTTCAAGAGACCCATATCACATGCAGTGACACTCATAGGCTCAAAATAATGAGATACAGAAAACTCTACCAAGCAAATGAAAAACAGAAGAAAGCAGGGGTTGTGATCCTAATTTCAGGCAAAACAGACTTTAAGCCAACAAAGATAAAAAAAGACAAAGAAGAGCATTTACATAAATGGTAAAGGATCAATTTGATGAGAAGACCTAACCACCCTAAATATATATGCATCCAACACAGAAGCACTTAGATTCATACAGGAAGTTCTTAGAGATCTTCAAAGAAACTTAGACTCTCACACAATAATAGTGAGAGATTTCAACATATCCCACAATAATAATGGGAGTCTTAAACATCCCACTGACTGTATTAGACAGATCATTGAGGCAAAAAAGGCCATTATCTGAAGTGAAATAACTCAAAACAGAAAGTCAAATACCACAGGTTCTCACTTATAAGTGGGAGCTACATAATGTGTATACATGGGCATGCAGAGCAGATTAGTAGACATTAGAGACTCATAAAAGTGAGAGGGTGAAAGGGAGTGAGAGATGAGAAAGTACCTAACTGGTAAAATGTACTTTATTTGGGTGATGGTTACTACTCAATATATCCATATAACAAATCAGCATTTGCACCCCCTAAATCTATTTAAAAAACAATTATGTCACCTTAATTAATTGATTCCTTTATCCTTATGAAATGACTTTCTTTTTCCCTGGAAGAATCCTTTTCTCTATATCTTTTTATAATAATATAATACAGCAACTTCAATTTTCTTTTTTATTATTGTTAACATGTATCATTTTCTAACTTTTAACTCTTAATTCATTTGTGTTTTATATTGAAAGTGAGTTTCTTATAGGCAGCATATAGTTGAGGCTTGCTTTTTATTCAGTCTGACAATCTCTGCCTCTTCACTTGGGGCATTTAGAACATTTACATTTATTATGAGTGGGCTTAAAATTTTTCTCATTTGTTTTCTATTTTTCTTGTTTGTTTTTCTATTCTTTTTTTACCTTATTTTGAATTGTTTTCTATGATTCCATTTTATCTCCATTTTGGCTTATTTATTATTTTTTTCCAAGGTATTTTAAATGGTACAGTATAAATTATCTTCTTTTTTAATTTTTTATTGGATTTTAGGTTTTGGGGTACATGAGCAGAGCATGCAAGACAGTTGCGTAGGTATATATAACTCTTTGCTACATTATCTTAGTGGCGGCTTTAGAGTTTAGACGATTCATCCTTAACTTATCACAGTTTACTTTCAAGTGTTATTTTATAACTTCGTGCATAGGTGGAGAATTTTAAAACACATTTATACATTTTCTCCTTAAGTCTTTGTATTCTTTTTTTCTCTTTTTTTATTGTACTTTAGGTTCTGGGGTACATGTGCAGATCATGCAGGATTGTTGTATAAGTATACTCATGGCAAGGTGGTTTGCTGCCTCCATCCCCCTGTCAACTGCATCTGGCATTTCTCCCCATGTTATCACTCCCCAATCTCCCCATCCCCCCACTGTCCCTCCCTTGCCCCACAAACAGACCCCAGTGTGTGATGCATTTCTCCCTGTGTCCCTGTGTTCTCATTGTTCAACACGAGCCTATGAGTGAGAACATGCGGTGTTTGATTTTCTGTTCTTGTGTCAGTTTGCTGAGAATGATGGTTTCTAGGTTCATCCATGTCCCTACAAAGGACAAGAACTCATCATTTTTATGGCTGCATATTATTCCATGGTGTATATGTACCACATTTTCTTTATCCAGTCTGTCATTGATGGACATTTGGGTTGGTTCCAACTCTTTGCTATTGTAAACAGTGCCACAATATACAAATATTTTAAGCTTTATTCTAAAATACAATTAAATTACTTGGAGATAGCTTAATATTTTCAGGTCTTGCTTTTATGCTTTGTTAGACAAACCACAACAACATTTATTTTAATCCTAGGCTGATTTTTTTCTCCACCATTGAAGCAATAATCTTCTGAGTAGTCTATCAGATGCTCAATTAGATGGAAAAAATATCATTTTAAAAGTCCCATTGGTAAACTTTCTCCTTTTTTTCTTCCCTGGCTCCACCCAGCATTCCTTTCCACACCATTAACACCCAAGAAATATAAGCATGGTGCTTTATAAATCTTGAAGAACCAACCACACTGTTACCAGAATTTCTTGACAATACTAAAAACATTAGAAGACATATTTTAGAAAGTAGAGCTATGACTCTTAGGGCAGGATTTAGAAATTTACAAACATAGAGCCTTCCCAGGACCCATAAATTGAATAATGAGGAACAGATTCTTAGTAATCCTGAGAAAATATGGTGAACCATTCTTACCATGCTGATACTTTGCAATGTCAAAGAGGTGACACATTCCCAATGATGCTTGTTGTACAATCGAGGAATCATCATGGGAACACAAAAGAGACAGCTCTGCTGCCAGGACACCCAAACATGGAGCATCAACACTTGTCTAATGGAGAAACAAAGGAGAACATGCATTTGCTATACACAGCCAACATGAATGTCTGCATGCATCTGATCCTGGTGTAAATCAGACTAAGATTTTAAGATACGCTTCAGAATTTACAATATCTGTAATCAAATCCTGGCTCTGTTACTGACTCTCAATTTCCTCATTATGACAGGATGATAATAAATTCCACTTTTTAACTGTTATTTTGGAAAGTAAGGGTAACAGTGATGACAAGAAGAAAAATTCCTAGAAAAGTACTTGGACGTAATGGTGACTCAACTAATGTTAGTTTCTGTGTGATGAAGTGGGTCCCATTTGCAGGTAGCCAATTCCCAAGATATGGAAAAGTAAGGTGGGATGTGTATTTCTGAAACCTTTAGTGCTTCCTTCTTTACATATGAAGCACTAGGTGTTTTTGAAAGTCACTGAAGAGGTATGACTTTTCCTCTGAAAGTTGTTCTGACTCCTCTCAGGGAAATTCATTTTTTAAAATGCAGAGCATTTGCTTTTGATGTCAAAGCTACTACCAGAACATTTCTGTATTTCCTTCTGCAACTTCTTCAACACATAGACTGATCAAATATTTAATTTCTATCTTAATGGACCTATTTGGCTAGATCAAATCCAAACAGAGAAGGGAGTAGAGATAGAAAAGAGGAAAGGTAGAAGGACATTTGTTTTTATGAAAGTATGAGTGCCCTTTACCAGTTTTGTGTGTCTTTTTTTAGACAAAGAAGGGCTGTGACCATATGTAGATTTGGTAAACTGGCAGCATGGCTTGCAGATAGTTCTTGCCTCCCAGACAAGGTTACTTTTCTTAGCTAGAGGCTTTGATGATTGGAGCAATTGTTGATGGTAAACTCTAGGGGGATCCCAAGGCCTTCTTCTGCTTCTTTTGACCTTCTTTGAGCCCCATTTTCCCTGCCCTTCACATGGCTTAACTCACCACTCCCTGCCCACTCTGTCTCTCTCACACACACAGAAATTCCTAAGGAAGAAGTGTGAAGTGATTTGGGTCATTTGGGTCATGGGCCAAGGCCGCAATTGAATTGTGATGTGGGTAGTGATGGTCTCAGTAGGAGAAGAGAGATTATAAATCTCTTTCTTTCATTGATATTCTCCTTGTATTCTTTTCCACCCGTACAAACAGTGGCCTGGTCCTTCCCCTTTTAGCAGCTGTGTGGCTTAGAAGAATCTGGGAGCAGACAGTAGCAGTGCCTCTGCTCTAGGCCTTAGGGAAAAATGCTCTCTTTCCCTGGATGTCCTTTTCTTTGAGTTTGTATTTTACATTTGTTTTTTCCCACTTGATGGCAAGATCTTAAAAACCATCATTGTGATATAGGCATGAGAAAAAGGCTAGCAATTTTCTCTCTTTACTGGGCATGAGAGAAGAGGATTACTTCTCACAGTTTGACTTACTGAAGCTGAACACCACTTACAGGGGATTGGCCTTACAGTCATCTTACATGACAGGTTTTGCCTCAAATGTCCTCTGATTATCCCTGCTCAGGAACTTGTTAGATGTGTAGTTCTTCGTAGATGTTTTTGTTAATGGAGCTCCTAGTGGTTTCCTTCTGTTCTGTTTGCCAGTTAGGATCTATCTCGGTGTATGTCTCTAGCAGAGTATGTGTGGTCTTGCCTAGACTGCATTTCCACTTACTGTCACCAACTAAAAAGGCATGCTGCGGGAGTGGGACCTGACCCAGGGTAGGCTGAGAGAGGAGTAAGGCAGCATGCATTGTGGAGCACACTGATGTATATCCTGCACAGCCCCTTCAGAAGTGTGACAACCACATTTACCCCTCCTCTAAGACAAGATTTTGAGAGCTTTCAGTATGATATATCCTGCCTTTATAGAAAATCTACCCAAGCACTAAAAAGAAGCAAATAGTTAAAAACTGGAGAAAAGTAGCTTCTCAATATTCACTCCTAAACCTAAATATTCCTGCTGAGTTTTCTGGCCCTTTTTACTGTGCCCTTTCTTTGTAGATCTGGCCTCCCCAGTCCCTTATGTTAGCAATAATGATAGTTTTAAGTGCTAGATTCCAGAAGCAACCAGTTCTAACGTTTTCAGCTGCTTCTTCTGGAAGTCACTCCTATTTCTCTGAACAATGTACCTTTGCTTCTGTTTCTAACATCAGTTTGAGACATTGTCTCAATTCCATCCCTCCACTTTGCCACAGTTCTCTCAGTAGAGAACATTACTTATCATAGTATATTATTTTTAATTCTTCTACCTTTGTGTTTTAATAATACGTTACTACTTTTGTTTCATAGAACAGAAAAACAGAATAGGAATATAATAATAGGATAAAACATAATAGCAGAATAGGAACATAAGTAGAATCATACAAAATGTAGCCTTTTGTGCCTGGCTTCTTTGACTTAGTATAATGTTTTCAAGGTTTATGCATGTTGTAGCATGTATACAATTTTATTCCTTTTTTGAGTGAGTAATATGCCATATGAGTATGTTACATTTTATTTGTTCATTTACCTGTTGATGGACATTTAGATTGCACTTTTCAGCTATTGTGAATTTTGTTGTGGTGAATACTTTGTACAAGTTTTGTTTGAACACCTGTTAAATTCTTTCAGGTATGTATCTAAGATTTCTAAGTCAAATGACAATTCTGTGTTTAACTTGTTGGAGAACCAGTAAACTATTCTCTGCACTTTTATTTTTGCATTGTTGAGCTCATAGCATTTACAGTATTCAGCAACTCATTTAAGTTTCCCTGTGCTTGGTTTATAGATTAATCCTAAAAGTTGAAAATCAATAATATGGTGTCACTGTGATTAGGTAAAATTATTCAAAGTCTAGGTCATGCTCACTTTAGTTATATCTCCTTTCAGCATGTACATATGTCTTTCTCATCTCTACCCTGCATTATCTCTTTTATTTTTAAAATACTTTATCCACAATTTTTCTTTTGAGATGGGGTCTCATTCTGTCACCCAGGCTAGAGTGCTGTGATGTCATCATAGCACACTGCAGCCTAGAACTCCTGGGCTCAAGAGTCCTCCTGCCTCAGGCTCTCAAAGCACTGAGGTTATAGGCATGAGCTCTCTCTCTGTCTTTAATAGTAATTTTTTTCTTTATTTACCTTTGTCTGTCTCTTTTATTTGGAAAGTTTCCCCAAATTTCACAAAGCAAGGTTTCTGCTTCTTATTTAAGGATGTCATGCCTCTTGATGGGGTTTTGTGTGTGAGCAAGGCTTGCCGCCTGGTATACTGTGTTTTAGAGCAGCTAGGAGTGGAGACTGGGATCATGCTGTAGTATATCTAAACAGAATGCAAGAGTCGTTTCTCAGGGAACTTAACAATGGTTTTTGCAAAATAAAATTTTCAACTTCTGTCTGCCAATGTATGTCAAGAGGAATGGGAGACAACATAGGTTCTTCTGTATATGCTTTCAATTAATCATTTGAATTAATGCATATATTTTCAGCCTGCCTTTGACTCCCACCCTTTATCATTATTTGGCCTTTCATAACTCACCCTCTAGGGTTCTACAGGGAAAACTGCTTTTATTTCAGCTAACTCCCATCCTACTGCTCATGGGTTCCCACCATTCAGTTCCCCTTCCAGGTTTTATCTTCTACCTACTGTGTCTTCTAGAAATTTGTTGGCATCATTAGCCCATTGAAAACATGTCATTAATTTTCTTTGTTGCTGTGTATTTATACCTTTAACAAATTTTTATTGCCATCATTTTGTGAGGACTCTGGATAAGTAGGAGATATACACATGTGGACAACTTGTTAGATTTAGCTGGAATCCTCCATTCATTTTTAAATGCTGATGTGGCAAAGGAACAAAGCTAGGAAAAAAATCTTTCTGTTAATGCTATAAGTTGGCAGGCTTAACTTACCTTAATTTGCCTGTTGAAAGTTTAATTGAAGAAATATGTGCTTTGAGTGTAGGAGTTTCTCTACCCTGATGGACATATGAGTCATGTGAGACAAATTATCACTTTAAAAATACTTACGACAAGATAAAAATGATAGAATTGTTCAATAGGACAAGAATCTGTGACACTCTGGAGGACCTAGGCTAGAGTTATTATGAAGAAAAAAGTCTATCCAATGTAGGAACAGTACCAGAGAACAAATGAGGTGGCTGCACTTAGAGAAGGGTAGAACAAATATTCGTTGATGATCTACAGTGTGTCAGATAGAGAGATGCACAGACTAGAGCTGTGAGAATCTTAGATTTTAATTTGTCCACAATATTTTTTTTTGTTTTGCATATTTGCCTCCCCAATTAATTGCACTGGCTCTATCATCTTTACAAGACATTATTTTAAAGAGAAAGCTAACAGTGAAGTTTTATGCTTCCCTGATTGTGATGAGCTGGTTGATTCTAGCTCTAGACGGTTTCAGTGTTCTGAAAAATGCTGAAGTACTTCCACCTGGTGGCACTTAGTGAACATTGCAGAACAGAGTAATAGCTTATTCCATTTGAGTTCTTGAACAAATCTGAGTTATGGCTAGGAACCCTCAACTAACAATTTATGAGAATTTTCTGCTACACATGTGAGTTTACATATTTATTCCTTTGCAGTTGAAAAATGGGATGTATGCATAGGAGAGTAAACTCTACTACAGTTAATGGAAGGAGGTGATAGAAGATGAAACTCCAAAATGTCTGTATACTACTTGAGTGAAACTCACTAGAATATATCAAATGCAGAGAGAAACATGTGACTAGGCCCTAGGCAACAACTGTCATCAAATACTTGCTGCGTATATAGCACATTTTAGGAGCTGTGCAGAAAACAGTCTTGAGTGGTGAGACACCCTTAATCTCAAGACTCATTTGCAAAATTTTCAAAGGTGAACCTTCTAGGCATTTAAGTGGATAACTCAAGCTATTTTAGAAGTTAACAGAAAGGCTGCCTTCCAACATCAGAGAGTGAAAAGATTGAAATAAGCCACTCTCTCTCTCTTTTGGACACTAAAATAGGGAATCTGCCTGATGCAAAGAACATCCTGGACTGTATCCCCTATCCAAGTAAATTATCTTCTGTTCCAAAGCTGAGTTTAAACAACCTGCTAAAAACTCAGATGTATTACAAAGCTCATCTAGATTCTTCATCTCAATACTTCTGGGGACTGTTTGTACAAGCAGGAGAAAGTGGACAAATATAACATCATGAATGTATGTTTCTTAGCCTCTTTACTTTCATCTCTCCTCCTGAAGTGACTCCAGCAATCAGGTAAGTTAGCAGAGGATGTTTAAAAATCACTGTGAAGGATGAATTGGGAAACAGAGGATGAATATACAGTATCCACAAAAGAGAAAGGTTCATAGGTAGGGTAAGCTTTCTGAGAAGGCAGGCCACAATGCTATTCGAAGTAGAGACAAACTCAGTAAATATTGGCTATTATGAGATAACTATTTGTTCTCCGTCTGAAATGCAAAAATTAGAAAGTCCAATTGTATCCCAGTGTTTGTGAAGGTGTGGGGAAATGGGCTCTTTAATATTTACAAGAATGCAAATTGGTGGACAATTTTGTGTTACTAAACTTTAACTTATCATACTTCTCTATCTGACCATTATCTTACTAAGTATTTCCAGGTACACATTCACGTACTTGCACAAAGATGCCCATTTTATATTGATTGTTTGAAGCAGAAACAATTAAATGACATTTTAACGTCCATTAACTGAAAAATAGGTAAACAGATCATAATATGTCAAAAACATGGGCTATATACTGTGTTTTAAATAACAAAATGAATCTACATATGTTGACATAAAAATATCTGTAGGATGTATTGTTTCAGTGAAAAAAGCAAATTGCAGAACCATATGTAAAAATAACTTTAGTAAAGAAACAATAAGTAATAAAGCTATGTATTTCAGTGTGTGTATGCATGTGTAGATGTATACATTAAAAGTGGTTTGGTAGGACACATATCATGCTGACATGGCTAAGGACGGGTTTGGTGTGGAGAGGATAGTAAAGGAAGACTTATGCTCTACCTCTAGCATGTTTCACAATGAAAGCTTGAGGATTACTTGTGTAAATTTAAAATAGTTAAATAACAGCTTTCAAATTATTTTAGGAAAAGTACGTGAGAAGACAGGTAAGGTTGGAGGAATTTATGAAATTACAAACTGGTCTACAGAGAAAATTTCAGAGTTGGCAAGAATCTGGTTTTGACATACTCATGCTGTTTGCATAAAGGATAATGTATCTTAACCAGTTGTTTGAGAAACTCTGTTCTGTCTGACACAAAGTCATATAAGATATTGACTCCTTTTCTGAAATCCCAACCAACCTACCAGTACAGTAGTACCAAGGAGCTGTCAAGTACTCTTAGGACCCAAGACATGGAAAGCAGCACTATAGAAATGCAGTTTTCAGAATCAGGTGGCATTGTTATACTCTGTGACTTACATGCCCCCTGGCTTTCATGGCTGCAAATCTTAACACCCTGTTGATGATCATCATTATTCTCTCTTGCAGGTATGAGCTATCTTCACTCATCCACACGAGTATTTCCTGTTGGAAACACAAAAGTCACCCTAGAACCATGAACTTTTCATTTTCCAGGAACCTTTCCTCTATTCTCTGACTTCACCAATTCAGGCATTCCTGCAGTCTCCTGATTATTTCACACTCAACCTACATTTATCTCAAAAACACAGACAATAAGCATCTAACATACTACTTCATCTACTATGGAAACTGTATCTGGGTTTTATTTTATTATATTAAAAATAGTTACTAATATCCACTATAATAGTCACTTCGTTAGGCACCATGAAAAGTTCAGCATGAAGCTATGGTACAATTGTCAGCTGCTTTGCCTCCTCCTTTTCTTTCAAAGGATATATTCTCCCTTTTATTTTTAAATGACAAGCTGCCTTTCAGCTTTAAAAGAGACTTAAAATCTTGTCTGAATCTGCAGTATCATCTTATTCCAGAATTCCTCTGCCAGTTCACCACTCAAATATTCTGGCTCATAGTTAGAGAGTATATTACTGGAGGTAGGTTGGGGAGAAAGTTCTTGCACATTTTTATTCAAATCTGTCTTGCTGCACCTTCTAGTTGTTCTTAATCCTCAGAGGCAGAGACACACTTACACCCTTGAGTGGGGAAGAATACTGCATATGCCTCATATGCCAATTGCCATTAATAGTCTTTTTTAAGGCAATCTGTCAGGGTCTACTCTGTTTATGTCAATGGTTAGCCAAACCTCTTCACCTTCTCTTACTCCCATTGTAAAAACTGATGTCTATTTCCTAAGGTGAAAGAGTTTCTAAATCTCAGAGGGGTCAACCTTTGCCTTGTCCTTTTCATGAGCGAGGTTCAGCCCTTTTTGAGAATGAGGGGAGCTCTTAGGCATGATAGGTATTAACAAACTGGTTAAGTAATACTCTTCCACGTTAGAGGGGCTTCTCCACACATTAGCATTATACATATTATTGCTCCTTTCTCTGTTTTTATTTTTTTTATCTGCAAAACGAAAGAAATAATAGTAATTCCATCAGAGGATTATTTTAAGGATTAAATTAGGAAACCCACATATTCAGTTTAGTGCCTGATATGGAGTCATTGCTTAACTCAATAAATGGAAGCTACTGATAGTGGCATGGGGTGAACAAAAAAGCATGCAACCTTTGCCTTGTCCTTGGTGGGGGGAAGAGGAGGATTTATAATCATTGTGAAGGGTTGTGAAGATAACTTTTCTTAACTTTTAATCAAGTTCAGGCATACATGTGCAGGTTTTTATATAGATAAACTCTTGGTATTAAGCCTAGTACCATTAGTAATTTTTCCTGATTCTCTCTCTCTTCCAAATCTCCACCATTTGTTAGGCCCCAGCATCTGTTGTTCTCCAATATGTGTCCATGTTTTCTCATCACTTAGCTCCCACTTATGAGCGAGAACATGCAGCATTTGGCTTTCTGTTCCTCTATTAGTTTGCTAAGGATAATGGATTCCAGTTCCATCCAAATTCCTGCAAAGTACAGAATCTCATTCTTTGTATGGCTGCATAGTATCACATGGTGTATGGGTGCTACAGGATTTTTATACAGTCTACCACTGGTGGCTATTTAGCTTGATTCCATGTCTTTGCTCTTGTGAGTAATGCTGCAACAAGTATATGGGTACATGTGTCTTTATGATAGAACAATTTATATTTCTCTGGATATGTTACACTCAGGAATGGAATTGCTGGGTCAAATGATATTTCTGTTTTTAGGACTTTGAGGAATCACCATGCTGTTTTGTACAGTGGTGGCACTAATTTACACTATCACCAACAGTGTATAAGCATTCCTTTTTCTCCACGACCCCACCAGCCTCTACTGTTTTTTTGATATTTTGATAATAGCCATTCTGACTAGTGTTAGTTGGTATCTCATTGTGGTTTTGATTTGCATTTCTTTAATGATCAATGATGTTGACCTTTTTTTCATAGGCTTGTTGGCCACACATATGTCTTCCTTTGAAAAATATCTGTTTATGTCCTTGGTACACTTTGTAATGGTGTCTCTTTTTTCTTGTATATTTAAGTTTCTTATAGATACTGAATATTAGACCTTTGTAGATGCATGGTTTGCAAAATTTTTCTCCCATTCTGTACATTGTCTGTTTACTCTCTTGATAGTTTCTTTCACCGTGCAGAAGCTCTTCAGTTTGATTAGATATCATTTAACAATTTTTGCTTTTGTTGCAATTGCTTTTGGTATCTTTTTCATAACATTTTTTCCCATTCCTATGTCCAGAATGGTATTGCCTAGGCTGTCTTCCAGGATTTTTATAGTTTTGGGTTTTACATTGAAGGCTTTAATCTATCTTGAGTTAATTTTTGTATATGCTGTAAGGAAGGGGTCCAATATCAATCTTCTGCATATGCCTAGCTAATGGATAACATTTTTTAAATGCACAAAACAAATTGGCTCAAATTAGGCACAAATTAGCCCAATACATTTTATTTTCCTTCACATTCCTTTTTGTCTTCATAAATACCAATACAGCTTTTTAAACTTGTGTGTATTTATGATTTGTACAACTCATAGATGCTCCTGGTAGGATAAATCAATCTGTTTTTCCAGTACTTCCAGACAGTTGGCCTCTGATGCCAACATGTTAGGAATGTGAAATTGAGGACCATAAGACATGCAGTGCAGTCTTGGTCTCTAGTGGGGACTATATATGTGAAGACCATCTGTCTGTGGTTGGGACATTAAAAAATACAGTGAGGCCTCAGTTGTGAAAAATAGGGTTTTGAATTGTTGTTAGGTCTTCTTTAGATACAGTACTATCCATGAAAATAGAATTTCAGCATTTTCTTTAGCACCTGAGTTGATGAGGAAGAAGGATGCATACAGTTACACAGCATAGTTTCACTGTTATGTGAACTTGAGGGTAGTTTAGGCTAATACTACTCTCTAATGCTATTCTCTGCTACTTCATATTGTGTTCACCCATGTATCACCATATGAGACCGGGTTTCTCAAGTACCTGTTGATGCTGTCCTCCCCAAATTAAATTCCTAAAAGTGTGCTTCTGTAATTCAAATAAAGGGAAGTGACTTCATTTCACTCTTTGGTGGTAAAGAAAATATTTCAGCTGTCAAATACTTGAAGGAGACACAAATATAGCAAATGATAAAATAGTGAAGCATAGTAAGTGTGCTAGCTTTATGACAAGAAAATAAACCTACGTATTTTCCCTTTACCTTTAAGATCTGTAGTTTGTAGAAGTCTGTAGATACTAAGTTTACAAGACTGCTCTCAAATATATTTAAAATACTTTGGTATAAATTCTGAAACACAGAAACATTGCACAGTCAGCAGCCTTAGACAAAACTTTACCTAAGGTCTATAGATTTTTTCTTACTTAAAAGTTACTTTTAATTGGGTTTCAATTCCTTGAAAATCCATCAGTGAGTGACACAGAAAATACTTAACATCAAATTGTAAAATGCCACAAACATTTAAAGAATTTTAGCATTATCTCAGATATTTTAAAATACACAAAGAAAAAAGACAAATGAAAACATAAAAATGTAATTTTCTTTGAGAAGTACAATGAGTATTTCTTATTTAGTGATGTTCTATAATCTTTAAATTTTCTGTAATAAGCATCTACCATGTTTATAGGAGGAAAAGCTAAAATTTAATTTTATAAAACTTGCTTTTCTGTGCTTATGAATGCATTTTCTCAGTATTGTTTGTGCTTAAATGTGATTTTGCTTGAGAACTCAATATGTTGGATTTATTTTTATCGGATGCATGGTTTTAAGTTTAGTTTCAAAAAGAACATAGGCTTGGCTAGTAGATTACCCCTTAGTTATAAAAAGTTTTATTTCCTATTTTAATGATGAACATTTAGAAAAATTCTCACCTTTAAAATTTTACATTTTTTCTTGATTTAGCTGTCTATAGATTATCTTTCTACAGCATGTTTTGAGATGTAATAACACAAATATATTTTATTCTAACCGTTGCTTTAAGTTCATTGAAAGCAATAATTAGGGAATAGCTGCCTGAATAGTTCTGATGGAAGTGGACAGTAATTGCTATTTTAAGGGCTGCTAATTACTATATTTCTGTAAAAATAATAGACTTTTATGCCTTTGTGATTTTAAATAGAAGACTCAAGCATGTTGTGACTTGGTTCTTATTTTAGCTGACACCTACAAGTTACCCTAACATCATATTTAAATATAGGTTAGACCAGGCACAGGGGCTCACACCTATAATCCCAGCAATTTGAGAGGCCAAGGTGGGAGGATTACTAGAGTTCAGGAGTTTGAGATCAGCTTGGGCAACATAGTGAGACCTCATTTTTACAAAAAATAAACAAAATTAGCAAAGCATGGTGGTGCATGTCTGTAGTCCTAGCTACTTGAGAGGCTGAGGTGGAAGGATTGCTTGAGCTCAGGAGGTGGAGACTGCAGTGAGCCAGGATAGTGTCATTGCACTCTAGGCTGGGTGACAGAGCAAGACTCCATCTCAAATAATAATAATAAAATATTGAAAATATTTTATATCTAAATAGATGGAAACAGTAAGATTTATTGTTCCACACATTAGGTAGGTACTGGAAATTGTATTCTGTGTGGGCATTGGAAATTTCCATGTGTGAATAACTGATATATAAAATATATGTAACATTAATAAACATGGGGCATTTGGATGTTAAAATGTTATATAACAACACATTTTTTCTTTCTAGTATTGGAAGAAGGGTTTTATTTTACTCAGAAATTATTTTTCTTCTCCCAACTACCAGAGTGGTCTTCAGCAGTAAAAAGTAAAAGTATCTCTGGGTATTCTCAGGTAGCTGCTTAGGAATATTTGGAAGAGGTCAAGTTGGAAAAGAATTGCACATTTGGGAAAATTAGCAGCCTACAAATCTGTGTTAGGGATATAGGAATATAGCTGAGAAAGTTTCTTCATTAAAGTCACCTTGCATCAACTGCAGAAAAGACTATAATTCTCTGAGATTTATATAGACGCTCTTATAAAAAGAAATAATTAGCCTGATAGTTTTGCATCTGAGTGTTCTAAGTTCTCTCCACAAACTGAAGAAAGGAGCGAGGTGGCTATGCTGAGACCTCACCTTATACCATATGCCATGAATTTCTTCTCTAGCTTATAGAGCAAATTCACTGTATAGCAATGGTAAAGAAATGGAGACCACAGATGTTTGCTAATTTTACTATAGGATTCTTCCTACTTCCATCTTTCTCTTTTCCTATTCCGTTCTTTGAGGGACTTGACAGCAAACTCCCTATTCTTGCTAAACCAATTAACCAAAAATATCTTTATCCATTTGCTCCTATAAATCCTATAGAATCCATTAAAATCCCATGGGTTGTAGAATTCACAAGGGATCCAGGGGTATTAAAAAGAGTGAAGAGGAGGACTATAAAGATTATAACGGGCTGAGACATATTCTGCAGGATTGCTGTGATGTGTTAATAATGTCCTATATTGATTAAAGGAAGAAAAATTTTACCTCCAGGTCCTCAATCTCCTCATTGCTGCTCCCCATTTCTTTTACTTTGTCAAGACTTGGCATGGCAACTAGCATTCTAAAGGATGACTCTATTTTCTTCAACTGAGATTCAAACTGCAGTAAGGGATCCACAAAGCTGACAAGAAAAAAGGCATAATTATTAATGATGAGAGAACAAATGTAATAAAAATTTAGTGGCTATTTCTTAGTGATAAGCAAAAATGAGGTTCAGCTTTTGGCTTTATATGACAGATGAGTCTTAAATAGTCTCTTAAAATGATAATGTTTTAAATATAAAGGAATTTATTTCTTTGTAAATATTATCTATAAACAGTTATTTAGAAATAAGAATACATTTTTCCATAATCATAATAATGCAAAGAGTAGTTACATTCCCAGCCAATTTCACAAAGCCATGCTAAACTTAAACAACTGAACTATATTACTGCCACAGTTTCTGTAGTGATTGATAATATATTTTTCACATCTTAGTATTTCTTACATTGAGATGCATCTTCAAATTGATGGCAAGTGAAGCTTGCCTCAGAAGCTAGAAAGATTATCTGCATGTCTGTGCAATACAGAAAGACTGAGAAAGAGTATGAGAAAGAAATAATAGTTGCCAAATTATGATGGTAGAATTTGGAGTAATTTCTTATTTTTCACAATTGTATGTTTTTAAAGATAAAACATTTTAAATACATCCAGTTAGTGCAATAAGAGAGCGTAATAGCTTATCATACCTGGAGTTCATGGACAGGATCATGAATTGATTCCTGAACAGCCGTGAGTATACATCCAATAGGCTTCTAGCTTTATGTGCTTAAGAACCACATTTAAAAAAATAAAAAGAAGAATTGATGATTACAGAGCAGTGAGACTCATAATAGCATGTGTACTTCTCCCTTTTACAGAGATTAAAGGAACCAAATAGGACTGGAAAACACACTCAAGAGTTCTTAGAAGTATTGAGACCAAATTGTAATTTAAATCTACAATAGTAGGTTTGCCTAAGTGGAGGTCTTTTACAGTCAACCACTATGCTTGTATAATTTGCAATACTAGACAGCATTTTGTTAGGTGTGCTCTTTACCAAATACACTTCTGTACACCGATATAACTGTTAAGTCCCAACTATTCAGTGTGGAGATTGCCTATAAAAAATGCCAGCCAGGTGATTTAAATAAGGTCTTATTAAAAAATGACTAAACTTACACTGTAGAAATAAGAGCCACTACAGGACAATGTGCAGCTGTTGACTATAACCATTTAATCTTTAAAATGGTAATTAAGGGGATTCCACTAAAAATTTATTCTTTTTTCCAAGAAACTGGTGAACTAGACCTCTAATAGCCAAAACAATCTTGAGAAAGAACATGGAGGTATCACAGTTATGATTTCAAGCTATCATATAAAATTAAGTAATTAAAATTGTATGGATTTCTATAAAAACGGACTCAAATCTAATGAAATAGAAAGTCCAGAAATAAACTCATTAATATATAGTCAACTAATCTTTGATAAGGGAGCCAAGAGTTTCCAGTGGGTAAAGGATAGTCTCTTCAATAAGTGGTGTTGGGAAAACTGAATATCCACAAACAAATAAATGAAATGGGACCCTTATACCATATACAAGAGTTGATTTGAAATGGATTAAAGACAAATGGAAGGATGTGAAGCTGTAAAACTCCTACAAGAAAATAGGGAAAGAGTTTCTTTACATTGGTTTGGGCAAAGATTTTTTGGATATGACATAAAAAGCACAGGCAACAAAAGCAAAAGTAAACAAGTGGAACTACATCAAAATTCAAGCTTCTGCACAGCAAAGAGAACAATTAACAAAATTTAAAAAATGCACCTATGGAATGGGATAAAATATTTGTAAAACATAAATCTGATAAGGGGTTAATATCCAAAATGTATCCGAAATGTAACTCATGCAATTCAATGGCAATAAATAAATAAGTAAATAAAAATAAATCAGATAACCCAAATACAAATGGGCAAAAGACCTGAATAAAATATTTTCCAAAGAAGACACACAGAAAGCAGTCCCTTGAGAACTGGAACAAGACAAGTACACCCACTCTCACCACTCCTTTTCAACATAGTACTGTAAATCCTAGCCAGACCAATCAGACAAGAGAAGGAGATAAAGGGCATCTAAATTAGCAAAGGAGTCAAACTGTCTCTGTTTGCTGACAATATGATTGTTTACCTTGAAAACCCTAAAGTCTCCTCCAGAGAGCTCCTAGAACTGATAAAAGAATTCAGCAAAATTTCTAGGTACTGGAATTATGAACACAAATCAGCAGCTCTTCCACACACTAACAGCAACCAAGTGGAGAATCAAATCAAGAACTCTACCCCTTTTATAATAGCTGAAAAACAACAACAACAACAACAACAAACAAGCTTAGGAATATACCTAACCAAGGAGTTAAAAGACCTTTGTGGGGAAAACTAAAAAACACTGCTGAAATAAATTGTAGATGGCACAAACAAGTGGAAACACATCCCATGCTTATGGATGAGTAAATCAATATTGTGAAAATGACCATACTGCCAAAACCAATAAACAAATTCAATGCAATCCCCACAAAAATACCACCATCATTCTTCACAGAATTAGGAAAAAAAGTCTAAAATTCATATGGAAACAAAAAAGAGCCCACATACCCAAAGCAAGACCAAGCAAAAACAACAAATCTGGAGGTATCACGTTACCTGCTTTCAAACTATACTATAAGGCCATAGTCACTAAAACAGCATGATACTGGTATAAAAATAGGCACATAGACCAATGGAACAGAATAGAGAACCCAGAAACAAACCCAAATACTTACAGCCAACTGATCTTCAACAAAGCAAACAAAATTATAGAGTGGGGAAAGGATACCCTTTTTAACAAACAGTGCTGGGATAACTGGCTAGCCACAGGTAGGATAATGAAACTGGATCTTCATCTCTTACCTTATATGAACAAAAATCAACACAAGATGGATTAAGGAATTAAAGCTAAGACCTGAAACTATAAAAATTCTAAAAAATAACATTGAAAAACCCCTTCTAGACATTGGCTTAGGCAAGGATTTCATGAGCAAAACCTAAAAGCAAATGCAATATAAACAAAGATAAGTAGTTGGGACTTGAACTAAAGAGCTTTTGCACAGCAAAAGTAATAGTCAGCAGAGTAAACAGACAACCCACAGAGTGGGAGAAAATCTTCACAATCTATACATCTGACAAAGGACTAATATGCAGAGTCTGCAACAAACTCAAACAAATCAGTAAGAAAAAAAGAATCCCATCAGAAAGTATGCGAAAGACATGAATAGACAATTTTCAAAAGAAGATATACAAATGGCCAACAGACATGAAAAAAATGTTCAAAATCACCAATGATTAGGAAATTGCAAATCAAAACTACAATGAGACCACCTGACTTCTGCAAGAATGACCATAATCAAAAAATAAAAAAACAGTAGATGTTGGCATGGATGTGGTAATCAGGGAATGTAAACTAGTACAATCACTAAGGAAAACAGTGTAGAGATTCCTTACAGAACTAAAAGTGGAACTACCATTTGATCCAGCAACCCCCACCACTAAGTATCTACCCAGAGGAAAAGAAGTCATTATTTGAAAACGAAACTTGCACACACATGTTTATAGCAGCATAATTTACAATTGCAAAATTGTGGAACCAACCCAAATGCCGATCAATCAAAGAGTGGTTAAATAAATTTTGGTATATATATGGTGGACTACTACTCAGCCATAAAAAAGAATGAATTAACAGCATTTGCAGTCACCTGGATGAGACTGGAAACTATTATTCTAAGTGAAGTAACTCAGGAATGGAAACCCAAACATTGTATATTCTCAGATATGTGGGAGCTAAGCTATGAGGACACAAAAGCATAAGAATGATACAATGGACTTTGGAAACTTGGGGGAAAGAGTGGGAGGGGGCAAAGGATAAAGACTACAAACATGGTGCAATGTATACTGCTTGGGTGATGGTGCACCAAAGTCTCACAAATCACCACTAAATAATATACTCAGGTAACCAAATACCACCTGTACCCCCATAACTTATGGGGAAAAAAAGACATACAAATGGTGAATAGGTATGTGGAAAAAATGCTCAATATTATAATAATATTATCAAGGAAATGCAAATTAAAACCTCAGTGAGACATTACCTCACACCTGTTAGGGTAAGTATTATCAAAAAGATGAAAGATATTAAGTGTTGCTGAGAGTATAGAAAAAAGGAAACCCTTGGATGCATGTAAACTTTTGGCATAAATGTAAATTGGTACAACCCATTTATGGATATTTATCAGAAGAAAATAAAAGCAGGATATCAAAGAGACATCTTTACTCCCATGTTCATTGCAGCATATTCACAATAGTCAAGACATGGAATCAACCTGTGTCTTTTGATAGATGAATTGATACAGAAAATATAGTATCAGATACTGAAAAGTTCCAAAATTCAAAGCCATCAAATCATAAAATTTCTTAAGAATTTACAATTCAATATGTAGCTAATAGAAGTCTCATAAAGAAAGAATGGAGAAAACATGAAGAGAAAAATTATCCAGTCAGTAGTGTAGTATAATTTCTCAGAGATAAGTAGCTGGAGTCTTTAGATTGAAAACATATGTGAGTGCCCAGTATATTCGAATTTTTAAAATATACCTAGACACATTTTTATAAAATTCCAGTTTACAAAAATAAAGATAAATATTAAAGGCTTCTAGGGAAAGAATCCAGGTGACAAAGGCTAGCGAATCAGACCCCATCATGTTTTTCATCAGTCATAATGGATGCCACAAAATAATCTAAGTTATGCCTTCCATTTTTGTTGTTGTTATGTTTTGTTTTTTTTTTTTTAAGAGAAAATGACTTGTGGCCTAGAGAAATGGTTGAAATAATAATTGGTGATGACTCTTTACATGGTGGTTCTTTCTTTCTTTTCTTGTTTTGTCTTTCTTTTCTTCTTTCTTTCTGTTTCTAATCTACATTGCATGGCTTTTAAAAATGAGAGGATATGATTTTTTGTAAGACTATAAAAGCATTTGAAATTAATTATATTTCCACTTCATGAAGAAAATCTCCTTAAGCTCTGAAAGTTAGAGACTTGTGGGCCAATGCTACCAGACTTTATGTTACAAACATAAGAATGAGACAATAGATGTTTAATGCAATAAGATGAATTTATACTTTACCTTGCACCTACATAAAGTGGCTCATAAATATAATCATAAGAGCTAAAACTATAAAACCTTTAGAGGATAAAATATTGAAATATTTTTGGTTAGGAAAAGTTTTTTTTAGATGCAACACTAAAACCATGGCCCACAAAAGAGAAAAAAAATGATAAATTGGACTCGATCAAAAATAAACCTTTTGCTCTTCAAAGGACACCATTAAGAAAAATAAGACAAACCATATACTGAGAGAATATATTTGCATATCATACATTTTACAGTTTAGTAAAGAAAAATCTTTACTAAATATTCAATTAAGTAGCAAGAAATAAAACATGTTTTGATGACAAGACAATGGTTTAAGGAAGTATTTATAAATTAATCTACAAAATCAGTGTTTTAAATCAAATTGCCAAGAGAAATTCTTATGGAATTTGACAAGTATATTCCAAAGTTCCTCTGAAAGTGTAAATAATTAAAAGTAGCCAATATATTTTTGAAAAACAGAAATAATTGCATAGATTAAAAGACATTTTATTGCTACATCTGAGCTATCTGTAGTAGTTGAAGATTTGTCTGATACCTCCTTTACTGCTGTAA